CCGCTCCTCGTGTCTGGTGTACATGCTTTGTGGAGGCTGCACGTGCTGAAAATATGGCATGTTGGACACGTTGAGGATCTGCTCATGGAACACCGCGGTCTGGTGGCTGTTGTGGCTGAAAAAAGACGGAGTCCCGGTGAAGTTGAACGGCATGATTGTCTGTGCGTCGGTCACCATGCGGCCCAGAGACTTGAGCGGATGGAAGATGCTGTGCGCGCTCTTGAGGATGTTCGTGTAGTGCGCGCCGGGCAGAGACGGGTAGACAGCGAGACTCCGGTCTCTCACTGCGGGGTGACTGGAGAGAGACACCGACATCACAGCCGATGAGGGGGACCCGAGGAAAGTTTCACTTGCGGTTTATATTCAGACCTGTAGACTGTAAACATGTTTTCATCATTATAACAATATCTTTGTTTCCATCCAAGTTTTCACAATTTCTTTAATGTCAGAGATTCATTTCGATTTTCTCCAAAAGTGCAATAAACTTGCAGGTTGTAACTTTGACATTTACTTAAATATTTCAGACAACAATTCAAATGAAATGTACATTTTAGACGGCATATTCCTTTCAGTTCTTAGAAGAACCTTTTTTTAGTGACATTTTAATAATCTAAAGAACACTTTTCCACTATACAAAAAAACTTTTGTGTAAATGTAAAAAAAGTTGCTGCCTTAATTTGTTCAGTACAATCAACTTGGATGTTTAAGTCATTTCCACTTAAATTAGGCCTACATTAAACAGACTTTAAAAAATAAGTTGAATCTTGTAGGCTATAACATAAAAAAGTTGAAAATTGCTTACCTTATTTTGATGAGTTAAAGCAATGTAAAAACATATGTTGTCATAACTTATTGATCATATAATTATTTTGATTTTTTTACAGTGGATGTTAAAGTATATTCATGGAACCATGATGCCAATAAAGAACTTTTATTTTTAAGAGTGTATATTGTCCCATTTTGTTAAATTAAAAAGAAACATACTGAGACGTAAAAAGAAAGGTTCTTTGCAAATGGTTAGCGAATATCATTCCTATTTTGGGCTGGTTATTGCAACTTTATTTAAAGTGTATTAAGTTGAAATTTACAGTATGACAATATCTTATAACACAGACAAACCAAAAATACGACTTTCTAAATGCCTGCAGAAAGTCATGTTTTAATGCACTGTGAAATGCTTTGTCAAGTAACCCAAAACAGAAATAACTCCGACTGCAGAGATTTCAAAAGCAAAAGTTTCCGGTATTCCTATACTTTTTCCCAATTGGCCATTTTCTAAACTGACCAGTGGAATAAACTGTGCGCGAGCGCGCCATGCACTAACAGAGACTAATGAGGGTCATGACACTACAATTTAAGAACAGAAGGTCAGCAAGAAAGGTCACCATTAATGAAGCCTTTCCAACTCTTTTAAAAAGCATTAAAGGTGTCATGCTCCATAGACTCCTGACCTCAGCTGGTTATTGCACATGAAGAGTGGCCTTAAATCCATAATGTTAATGCAAAACAAAACACAAATCATTGATTGCTGTCTTCAAAACTAGGAAAAAAATATTGTTAATTGTAATTGCTTAAAGATGTTCTTACCATATAGCGACTTGTGCAAGCCTGAGATCCTCCTGTTGTGTTTGGGGAAGCTTTACTTGGCGGTTCAGGAGCGATGAACTAAGGTCTTGTGTGTGTGAAGCTTGAGACAGGTCTGAAGACATATGGTTGAGTGTAGGATAGCTACTCGAGAGGGGATGCCTTTCCCGGATCTCTGCTGTCATTGGTCAGTCTGGGGTTCATCCTCAGGGAATTACACTTTAACACGCTGTAGCAGCGCTGAGAATCCTCTCACAGTTCTCTTTCATATGCACCGCAGTCTCTAATGTGTTAACTACTGCAGGCGCACTGTTAACCGCTCCTAACGGCGAGAACGGCACGAGTTCAGTTTAGATATAGAGGCTGTTTGTGAAAACCAAAGTCAGCAGCAGCATGCATTTAATAATGGGAATTAACCGTGCATCACTGTAAACAATCATTTTCATGATTTATCACAACTTTTTTTCTTTTGTCAAATCAACTTAGGCTATTGGGGTTCAGATAACACAATATTTTGAATTTCTGTTTATTAACCCAATCTCCTTCATTGTAATTGCTAAAAAAAATATTTCGATGAACTCAAAATTTTAAGGCAACCAGGTAACTTACTTCAAGTTAAACCAATAATACTTTTTTACATGGAGTTTCACAGACGAAACATCTGTTGTAGATCATTTTATACCGTGAAAACGAAGTTTCACAGCAATGTCATTGACACTTCACAGCCAGATGTGTTTTGTACATATGAGTTAAATTAGAGGTAATTTTATTACGAAAAAAAAGTAGGCTATTTTAAATAAAAATATAAAAAATAGGTCTTGTCGCAGGGACTTCAAAACCCTTTTTTTTACTTTAACACAATCATACATTTTGAGCTGCCATAATTATTCCTAATTAAAAAGAACAATAATAATTAATTCATTATAATCATTAAGTTCTGCTGGATCATGTATTTTTTAGACCAAAAATATAACACCAAAAAATATTAAGCAAAAACTTGATAACACTTTATTACAGTGTCTTTGTTACACGTTAGGCCTACATGTAGGCCTAACTAGTAATAACAGTACATTATGCATAATTGCAACTAATTTACTGCTAGTTGCAACTTAACTAATTGCAACCCTAAACCAAACCAAACCTTAACTCTAGAAGTAGGCCTTATACCACAAATAACCAAAATCAATTTGTTACTGTCATTATTAACAATATTACTTATTTATATAATGATAGGACTAATATTTATTTGTAAATTATTTAATAATTATAAAAAAAGTTTTGCGGTTTTAAGGCACATCCTATAACAGCCGACATCGTAGCCTACTTCGTAATTGTCTCTTCGGATATTTTCTTATATTAAATAAGACACTTTTACTTCCTGTGTAACGGGTGTTGTTTTTGTCTTCAGTGTTTATAAAGCAATTTTTCTTTTACATTGAATAAACACGCAAGCGCGCCATCATTAATTTAACATATACGAACTATGCCCAAACAAGGTTTTCCAACTTTTAAAAAGCTCTTTTTTTTTAGAAAGATCTGTGCATCATTTCCTCTGTAAAATGGAAAACATAAACCATGAGATGATTATAAATGTTGCAATAACAGAATTCTTTATTTACAATTCAATTTGATTCAACATCAAATAGCATCAGCAAAGCCATATTAGTTGACAACTTGCATAACTGTATTTAAATTTCTCTCGGTATATCTAACTTTGCATAAAAGGCTCACACTAAGATTACACACATCGATGCAGATGAACAGAGATGTTTATGTGACCACAACTGGGAAATAAAATACATCTCAGGAGCGCAACACTGTAAGCTTTCTCCAAAAAGTCCTTATAAATTACATATTGCTTCGATTTCCCATTGCATCGTCTTCATTCTCACACATAACTGAGAGGGTAAAATCAGGACTGTACAAAATAATAAAACCCACAACTGATCACAAACAAAACATGGAAAATGAGCAATATTGAGACTGGAGGAGAGTGAGGGAGAGACAGAGAGAGAGTTCTGTACGTATCCATTGATGAACTGGGTCGATCCTGTCAATGATTCGCTATACAAATATAATACAGACAACTTTTGTAATATACAAGACGGTAAAACAGATCTAAGGCAATATGCTAAGTTATAGCATTTCAAGGTTGTTGCATTTAGCTCTAAGAAATTGGCAGACTATACAAAACACGTTTAAAGTCTCAGAAAAACAAAATCAAAAGGTATAAGGTAAAGACAAATCATTTTAGGAAATTCAATAGCCGTTACAACTCCATTGATTTATTTCTTTATTTGAGGACAAATGGCTCTTTTTGCACTAGCACTGATAAAAAGTCTAGAAAACTCTGCACCACCTTCACATCATGGCTTATATTTATTTCAAAATCTTGACAATCTTTGGACTTTGCAGAGGGTAGTGGTACATGTGCGACCTCAAAACTGGCTTTTCTCCAATATGATAGTAGTATAGATGCGTATGGATGTCAGTCCTTGTTCAAGGCATCCAACATTCATCGAAATTGTGATCAAAAAAAGCTTGGAATAAATAAGTACTCGTTTTAGTCGACAAATGCTAGCGGGTTTATTGAAATCGATTATATCCCACATGAGAATGCAGGTGTTTCTCAAAGGATACAGAACATTTTGAATGGTGGCCAGAGTGACGCTTCACCCCAAACAATGTGAAATCAAACTTGTATTTACAGTGTTTAAAAGGAAAAGCTAAAGCTATACCAAAACACCAGGTATATTCGTACACAACCACGGCACCTTCAGCGAATAATGACAGAGCTGGTCGTCGCAAACTTCAGTTGCTGCTGGTACATACAGTATACTTAAAAACATGTAGGCCTAGTACTTTTTTTTTAAACACACCAGCTTAAACACAGATGACATGGCGATATTTTCAGCGAAAGCTAAAGGCTGACAATCTAACCCCGATACAACCTGTGTGCAGACATGAGACGAAAACAAAAAGAAAGTGGCATGTGTAAGTCTACCGATCAATTCAAAGTCGAGGAAATTTGGCTTAGTCCTCAAATAGGCTAGAAAACAAAGACTGTGTTGCGAACATTACAGCGATAAGAGTTTACGTGTTTGTAGTGACCGTTGATTCAAATCTGAACCGTTGATGTTTTCAAGATGGCGAACAATGTGTGAATGTAGGAATAGCCACGTAAAACACCAATGCTGCTTTATTTATTCTATTTTTTTTTTTTTTGGCTACACCAGAACTAAAACCTGCTTTTCACTGAGAAACAAGTAGATTTGGACATCTCGTTTGTGTTTTTTTCTTCTTCTCAAAATAGAAAGCACAATAAAAAAATCTGTTTTTAATACTGAGTTTAAACCGGGGAGCAAAAATGTGTCTCCTGAAAAGTCCTGTACAAAAATTACAAAACAAAGCAAAAGAAAACCTCAAGTAATATTTATTGCTTGTTGTCTTTTCTTACACACACCGGATTCTGCTTGTACCTATAGCATCTGGCATGAAGCACGTCACTCCACACAACAAAGAAAGCAGGCTTCAGTGTTGAGTTTATGGCTGTGTTGGGTTCCTCCGGTGGGGCTCCCGGCTAAAGGCTTAGAAGCAAGCGAGTATCTGTACACTGTACACACAGCACCCTCCCAGACCCCCACCCAGGAAAGAAGAGCCACCGGACCCCGGCTCCCCCTTCCTTAGTACCACAGGAATCAGCACATCCTCATCTTCCCGCCAAACGAACATGCTCGTGGTGAGAAACTCCGTCCTAGTTCCAGAAACAATTAAGACTGGAATTTGAGGGGAGGAAGGGGAAATATACTGGGGGAAAAAAAATTAAATATAATACGAAACAGATTCCCCCCCACCCCCCAGAATTGGTATTTACAATCTACCAGTATTTCATTTGACTAACCACAACAAAATCACCTTCTCTCTGAAACTACTGGACCAATGAAAACGAAATCCATGTTGAACTTTATCTTATGCTGAGGCATTTCGTATGCACTCTCAGTGATTTTTCTCTTTCTAACTGATGGTTTATAAAGAAATCTACACTGTTATTAAAAAACAAACTATACATTAGAATAAAACTTAATTTAATACACAATAAACCTCTTGACTAAATCAAGCTAATTTTACAAACCATCATCTGGATTCTCATAATCTATATAGATGCCGTTTCAACATCATTCTATCTTTATTTGCACTCTGAAACAAAACAATAAAGAAAACAAAAAGGCAAAGTGGCTGAATTTTGAGCGTGCATTTCAAATGCAGTATTCTTGCCTGTTTTTGGACCGTCAGATTGGAAAGGAGTCAGAGAGAAAGATGGTTGGGCAATAGAACGTCTTCTTAAGAAGAGCCTGAAGTCCAGAGGAAGAAACGAGAACGAGAAGACAGAGAAAAAGAGAGGGAGGAATACATTCATGGGAGACAAGGATTCCGATGCCACGGACAGGGGAGACCTAAGTCACACTACGGTGAATGCAACGGAGCAGACTGACGGAAAGGGCTTACGGTGTAAGTACGAGACAGAAGGCCGTGCTCGACTGAGGGGGTGGGAGGGGGCTCTAGGTCCAGAAGATCAAAGTGTCAGTGTGTGTGTGCGTGTGTGTGTGTTTGAGGGAGAGTGTCAGTCCCCTCCGAGCTCCAGTACCCCTGTTGCATCCTCTAGAGATGTCCAGTAGGGGGCAGTAGACAGGCTCTCTAAAGACCCGTACGGCCCCGATAGCAGCTTAAATAGCACAGCATCACTCCAAACTCTCCTTGATCACGCTGCAGCAGAAAATCACTCATGAAACATCTTCATTAAACTCGGTTTACTGCATTGTGATGTCGTCTGCCCCGTGTCAACAATACTTCTGCTGTGGAAGAGAGAGAGAGAGAGAGAGAGAGAGAGAGAGAGAAAAACTGGGTCTTAGACTTGACAGTGAGCATTCATAAAATGAAAAACAAAAACAAACGTACATTTTTCACCGAAATCATGTATGAGCCAGTTTTTTTTATATACTAGAGAGAGTTCATATCATCCCATAATTAACAATAATTAAGTTGTAAATAACAACTTAATTAGTCTTAATAGGTAATGGAGTGCTGCAGTGATGATGTATTTTTGTAGGCCAACACGGAAGCTAGCATTACCCTGGTTCCCTCGACAAAAACCCAATTGGATTTTTTTTAATGATAAGCTCTGTGATCAACAAACGTTTCTGATACTAACACGATTTGCCCATCAAGATAATTTTCACAAATGAACACAACTTTTATGAATTTTGAAGCCTAAATACAATCTCATGAAATAAATCTTAGGCTGTAAACGAACTAAACCACAGTCATTCGACTTCAACATCACCACCACCAAGCTTCTGGCAACTCTTTTAGTCTTTAATAAAAAAAAAAAGAGAAAATTTTCCCTGAAAGTGTGAGTTAGAATAGTTTGCAATAGCACGATTATGAACACAACAAGGCTGTGAAAGCGGAGTAGTGCATAGATGAGTGTACAATCTCTGTAGTCCCATTAAGCAACATGTTAACAACCGCCTTTTTCAAAACACGCAAAAGCTTCTAAAAAAAAATCAAGAGTGAGGTATTAATGGTGTGCTTTTTGTCATAGAATAAAACATGAAAATATCTTGAGCTTGTGTGGCATTAAAACAAAATCCATTTAAAAAACCCGTTGAGAGCTAAAATGCTAACATGTTTGTGTGTTTAGGCCTATAAAAACATGTCATCCCTGCAGCACTCTATAGTGATGTCTGCGGTGCTGGAGTCAGGACTACGGTTCCTACGGCATGCATCACGGTATGAATAAATCATGTGAACTTCTGTTTTATTGTTTGCTGGGTTATTTAGTGGTGTTGTTGTGTATGCTTTAAGTTATGCGCCATGTGGTGTTCATAGCATAATGTTCTTAAGTATGTGGTTGTTGTCATTGATCACATTAACATACACACTGATATATACTGATAACTCTCTAAAATCAGCGGTAACGCTTCCTTTTACAGTCCTGTTACCCATGTACTTACTATATAGTAATTATAATTACTGGGTAATAACTAGGTACTAACCCTGAACCTACCCCTAAACCTACCCTAACCCATGTACTTACCTTATATTAGCCAGTACTTTCTAGGTAAGTACACTGTAAGTACACGTAAGTACTGTACTGTAAAAGGAAGCGTTACCAAATCAGCTTATTTAATTTAACCCGTTGTCCTTATTTACATGCAATCAGGTTACTCCCCTGTAGTGACATCAAAACCTAATCCTCTGTATATCTGATTCTGATTATTCCATATGTTATTTGAGATATGATGTGAAATACATAAGCTGTATTTTGACTGTACCACTTCTGCTTCGGCTGCAGAGATGAGAACATTTTTTTATCATATCTTGGGTCGAGAAAGAGTCCGAGTTTGCCTGGATGTGCTTAAACCGCAGTAAGGACGCTGTCCTGTTACATACCACACAGACGGCAGAACGCCGGTTAAACTCACTCTCAAGTTGTTCCAAACCTGTATAAGTTCCTTTCTCTTGCTGAACACAAAATAAGATATTTTGAAGAATGTCAGTAATCATTTTGAGTCTGTATTGTTTTTCTCCATACTATGGAAGTCAATGGGGCCCATCGACTGTTTGGTTAACCATATTCTTAAAAATATATTTTTATGTGTTCAGCAGAAGATAGAAATGCATACAGGTTTGGAACAACTTGAGGGTGAGTAAATGATGACAGAATTTTAATTTTTGGGTGGAGTATCCTTTAATTATGGGCAAAACCAGGCAAAATCAAAGTAAGGGGCAAAAATGTAGCTGCATCGATTGGTTTATGCTTAAGTGTTTATGACCTTACTTCGATAAAGGAAAACATGTTAACACATTTAAATGATAACATGCATTATCAGCTTATTAATAACTCTTTCCCTCACCATTGACATAATTTTCTCAGCTTTTTGTTAAAGTTTTTTTTTCAATGATTTTTTTTTACATTTATTGCATGTTCAGATAGTCACACAACAAAATATTGTGGGGGCCATGAAAGTTTTGTGAAATTTACCAAAAATGCTGATGGTGGTTGGCAACTTAAAAAAAAGAAAATGCTGGCGGGAAGTTAAGTGGTATCCTACTTGGCTTAAAGACGTGCATGTAAACGCACTCGCTGTCAAAGTGTTTTTTCGTATTTTACTCATCACGTTTATTCTGAGAAAAATATGAATTTTCTAAATGAGACCACTGTCGTTGCACGTTGCAACCACACAAATAGCTTCACAATCCACTGGCCACCAAACCTGACTTGGTGGGAAGCGCATTCAATTCACCATAATCATATTAGTGTCATTTAGGTTCTAATTCTCACGATTAACTAGTTGCTTATTAGTATGTAGGATAGGATATTGGCTGTTATTAGTACTTTTAAAGCACATATTAATGACTTATTCTGCACGACCATATTCTACATCCCTTAATCCTACCCAATACCTAAACTTAACTACCTTACTATTAATAAGCAGTAATTGTGAGTTTTTGAGGAAAAAGTCATAGTTAACAGTTAGTTAAAAGTGAGAACTAGACCCTAAACTAAAGTGTGACCATAAGTTTTTAACAATGTATACTCAACAAAATATATGAGAATATACTTATATGAGGGGGATGTTATATGGAAAAATATACACTAATAAATCATGTCAGGTAAAGTACTTTTTAAAAGCTCTTGCAGCCCAGTTTCATGTACCCCTCCTCACTAAAATGTGTTGTAATGCCAAACTTTGTGTTGCCATGAAGAGATAATTACAGCTAAGAAACAGAAAGCAATAATTCATTAAACCTCCACTAATGGCAAAATGCTAAATTATTAAAAGACCGACTATACACACATCTTGGGAATAAATCAGCGGACTGAGATTTCAACGGCCTGTGGACTTATAACAACACCAAGTGCACACGATCAAACCCATGCAACTTGGTTAAATATTCATACTATTTAATGAAGCTTAAAAGCTGCAGTGGGCTGTGTAAAGCATAAAAAAGAACTGGCGAGAGAGTGCATCACTTAAGTAAACATATTAAAGAACTATTTTTGAAGAACAACATATCAAAGGATTCAATGGTTTGGGGTCAGTAAGATTTGTTTAATGTCTTTTTTAATGAAAGAAAAAAGACTGCATTACCTATTAAGGCTGCATTTATTTGATCAAAAATACAGTAAAAAGTTATACTATACAATTTAAAATCACTATTTTCTATTTTAACACGTCATATAATCGATTTAGCTTAATATTTTTGTGGATTTTTCCAGGATTGTTCAAATGAACAGCCTTTCTTTGAAATAGAAATCTTTATTAACATTATAAATGTCATAACTTTTGTTCAATTAAATGCATCTTTGCTGAAAAAAAGTATTAATGTATTTAAAAAAAAATTTGTACTGATCCCAAACTTTTGAACAATATTGTATATATTTGTATACTGTATATAAAACATGTATACACAGTAAGTAAGCTTTTAATTATATGATTAATAGGGCTGGGTAAAAATATCGATTTCTCGATATTAATCGATTCTCATTTTTATGAACCAATATCGATTCTTAAATCAAGAATCGATTAGTCATCCTGTTTTCATTTGATGAATGAATGGAACATTGTAGCGCGCATCCCATTCAATACATCGCAATAATCTTTGTGCTTTGTTACTATTGATACTAAATAAAGTCTCAAATTTCAAATTACGTCCATTTTCTTTCGAAATTCAAAAATATAAATACCGTTTTGGCGCTGTGGCGTGAGATCGCTCTGGCTCAGCTCAGCTCGAGAAGCACATTAATAATACCAGTTACAGCGCGAAATAAACATGAATGAACGTCTGAAAGTGTGTTAAAAGATAGAGTACAACTTATCGAAATCCGTATCATTTCATGGAATCGCTCAATCAGTGTTTCAACCGTGGAAAGACGTCAGTAAAACAACTTGTAAACAATGTCATCTAACGTCACATTTACCTCAGAAAAACCATATGTGACCATAAACTCGTTAGTCAGCTAGAAAAATTAACTCTAAAAAGGAGCATTTTGCTAAATATATGCACCATATTACATATTCATTATAATTTTTAATGTTCTTTGATATTTAATGCATGTTTGAATAAATCTGGCAAGTTTTTATGACAGCCACCATTTAAATGTTTATATTTCATATAACTTTATTATTATAAAAATAAATAAAAGTGTAATTTAAGTGTTTGTATAGCTACAAATCAGTTAATTTTTACCTTCAATATTATAGTAGGCTAATGAAGCCTAGTAGGCTACAACTGACTCCCATAGTTTACAGCATTAGTTAAGAGATTTGTTTTCCTTGAGAAAATTTGCCATGTATTGTACCTGATATCCAAAATAATCAATATTGAATCGAAATCGAATCGAATTGCAAGCTTGTGAATCGAAATAGAATCGAATTGTGAAATTTGTGTCAATACCCAGCCCTAATGATTAAATCACAATAATGTGTTGATACTGTTACTGATGATATAATCTGATACTAAGATTTGGTTAGATGGGAGTTCTGGGAGTGCAGGAATGTGTGGTCAAACTCTAGCTGACTTATAGACGTCATGTCTGATATTTAGCACTCAAAGTCCGACATGTCTGCATATATGATCTCCTTATCCACCTCAAACGGGCACTAATTGCCAGCGACTAATCACATCACTGTCCTATTACGTCTAGTTCGTCATCATCCCTCTCATCTGCAAAATTACCCAGATAATTAGAGTAAATTATTAACGAGCTAGTTGCAGAGTCAACTACGCTATTTGGTGACCTCAGACACTTAAAAGTCTGACCTTTTATGTCTAATGGTTTGAGTAAATAAATGCATCCAATAAATCTACGGTGTAACGCTTTTACTAAACTCTTGGCTGGAACACTGAGGAGTTTAAATGGGCTTCATTAGCAATGAAAAGTTTGAGAGTTTGACGAGCACTGCAAAGTAGTTTCACTCTAAAGATGGGTTTTAAAAGTAGCTTGAGCTTTCAAACCATCAAGTTCAGGTGATTGTTGGGAACAGTGGAGCTTGAACGGGTTCCCAATAGGCGATACACATTCACACGTTTTACAGATGAAGGTGTCACATCATGACTGTATATGTGTCTAACCTGTTCAGGGCCCATGTTGGCCATGCTGCCCCCAGGTCCAGAGTTCATTGAGCTCATGCTCATCTGGTTGCCCATTTGGCCCATGTTGCTCGAGTTGGTGGCCATGGGCACGTTGAGGTTCATGCCGTTACCGTTGTACATGTTGTTATTGGCCTGCTGGCCAAACTGAGGTGGCGACTGCTGAGTGAACATACTGTGGAGTGAAGCACATAAAGGTTTAAGACCCTTTAGGTGGTCAAATGTTTCCTAACTAATTCTCCTTCTAAGACAACAACTTTTTTTGGTGAATAATGGAAACATTTCAATTTCATTGCTCACCAAAGCTGCATTCATTTGTTAAAAAATGTAGTTAAAAACCGTAATAGTGTGACATATTATTACAATTTAAATGAACTGTTTTCTATTTTAGTATTTTTTTTTTTTCAATGTAAAATTTCTGTTTTAGCAAAGCTGAATTTTCAGCATCATTACTCCAGTCATCAGTGTCACATGATCCTTCAGAATTATAATATGGTGATTTGCTGCTCAATAAACATTTGTCATTATTATCAATGTTGAAAACAGTTATTTCTGCTTAATATTTTTGTGGAAACCATGAGGATTATTTGATGACTAGAAAGTTCAAAGAACGGCATTTAAATGAAATGAAAATCTTTAACATTATAAATGTATTTACAGATGGACACTTTTGATCAATTGAATGCATTTTTGCTGAATAATTTCTTTAAAAAAATATTTTAATTAACATAAAAAACCTTTTGATTGCTACTGTGTATATATATTGTATATAAACCTATAAATATCTATTTAAAAACATACAGCTATCACAAATATGTCAACATACTTTACTAGCAAAAGGGTTCAACCGAAAACCTGGTGCTTATTTTGTGTGAAAGCGAGTGAATGTCATGTGATGAAGCTGCACCTGTTGGCATTCATGTTGCCCTGTGTCCAACCGTTCATTTCAGGGGAGGACTGGAAAGAAGTGTTGCCCTGGGCCTGTTGCATCATGGGACTCTGGGCGTGGCCCATCCTGGGAGACATGAGGGGGCTCTGAGGGGTGGCGGCACCACCGAACCCACCATCTGACTGCTGACTCATACCTGACACACACACACACACACACACACACACAGATGTGAGGAGACAAACCTCGGCTTGAAATAAACAATCAAAGAATCAAACAAATTACAGAATTATTACTGTACAGCACTCTATTCACATCGTATTCACTCTCTCACACTCGGACAGCATTCACATTTAGCACCCAGAAATTAATTAATCTGTTACTACAACAGGAACATTGATTAAAAATATTCACAAATCAAAATCTAAACATACACAAACACACTCACAGACACACACTAGTCACCAATTCAAATCATTCGTTTAACAAACTAATTAGCTGATCATCATTTTTTTTTAGAAATGTCAAAGCAGAAATCATATTGAGAAGTGTTTCAGACCATCTCCATAATCAAAAGTGAAGAACTGGCGTCCAGTATTTAACTAGAAGGGTTTAGAGGTGTTATAAGCAGGCAGTGAGGTAGAGTTACACATGCAGGTTAGTGTTAGTGGCTGAGACAGCCAGAGAAAAGAGGGGTGGGTGGGTAATGGGCGGGATTGGGAGGTGGGGTTTGGGTCACCGCATAATTGGTTTAAAAATCAACTGCTCCGCCTCCACTGATCACCATCAGCCAATTAGTCTATGCAGGACAGACACTGACACATATGACACAGCACAGGCATAGACACAGCCACAATTATCAACAGTTTGACACAACACAAGCTTTTGCATAATGATATACTGACTCTGAGCTCATGTGTTACCTAAAGATCTACAAAGTGCAAAGCTGGATATTCTTAATGTGTGGATCTGTTGAATTTTGCTGATTACCACAGAATCATTTCAACTCATTCTTCAGTTTGTAAAAAAGAATGCAAAATGCAGTTCATCAAATGTAATTCCAATGGAAGCCCAACAGGGTCATTGAGCAGGTGGCAGTTTAAAATATGCAAATTATCACACTATTTGTTTTTACAAACTGAGCGGCAAATCATAATTATATTCTGTGGTAATAGACAGCATGCTGCCCATAGATATGAAGTCCTAAATGAGCTGGAGTATTCCTGTAATATATTCTGATTACATGCATTTAATTTCATGTGGGGGAAACATTCAAGTGACTCTTCTGCCCTCTAGTGCCACCTTCTGCTGTAACCATTATGATGTTTCAAGGGCACTACATAAATAAAAAGACTTAATTAATACTACTTAACAGCATAAAGTGCTAAATAAGCTATTACCTTACAGTACTTGACTGAACAACTACAAACAGATATTTAAAAGGCCAAATATTCCCTGAAACAGCTCAATTCAGATTATAAATCGGAACATACGTTATGTTACTAGACAAGTGAATTTTGGTCTTTAGTTGTATAGAGGCATCTAATCTCATAATACAGTACATAATATAGTCCTGCAACTACACTTTACTTAAAAAATTAAGGCAGTATTTTTTTTACAATCAACTTGGCTATTTAAGTCATTTCAACTTAAATTACATTAAACTGACTTAAAAAAATGTGTATATGTATAACTTACAAAAAAAGGTAGAAAATTGCTTAACTTATTTTGATGTAAAAATATGTGTTGTTATAACTTATCGGTAATATCATTTTTACAGTGTGCAAATCTCTTTAAATTATTAATTTAAAACCTCAATTTAAATACCGTCATTATTTACTTGCCCTCATGTCATTCTTCACTTTAATATTAGTATACATTTTAGTAATTTTGTTAATGTTTTTAATACTTTTTTTAATATTTCTATTTAGCTTGAATTTATTTTTATTCCAGTATTATTAGTTTTAGAACTTTATCTATTTCAGTTAGTTGCAAAGGCAACATTTCTATTTATCATTTAAGTTTCTCATCTATCATTTGACTTGATTTCAGCTTTATTCTTTTTAATTACCGAAAACTATTTTTTAATAGTGTTAGTTAACAACAACACCATGGCTTTCTTCCCTCCATGGAACACAAAAGGTACATTTTTAAGAATATCCTGGCTACTGAATAAATACATTGATGTTTTTTTCTTTCTTTTTTTTGTAATTTTGGAGTCCATTCTTTATTCAAACAAGCTGGTTAGGAAATTAAAAAGTTACCTTTCGTGCTCCACAGAAGACAAAAAGTCAAAGTGTTTGGAGCAACACGAGGGTGAGTAAATGATGTCAGAATGATAATTCCTGCTAAAATGTATATATTTTAGAATATTAAGATCGGATATCACTATAGTTGCTGGAATATTATTTTTTACACAGCTGACCTGCATCAGAACTATTCTGTTTCTAATTAAATCATGTTGACTGGCCCCTGATTTTTCACCGTACGCTCCGATCACACAAGTTAAGCCTGTAGCGTTGCTGGTCGCAGGTGTTTGTGCGTGTGTGTGGAAGCGCATGACACACAGACAGAGAGAAAGGGCAGGCAGTACCTGAGCTGGGGAACTGAAAGGCACTGTGCTGCATTTGAGGGCTCATAACAGCCCCAAACTGTCCGCTCAGACTGCCCAGCATCCCCTGGTTAGCTAGACTCATCTGAGAGCCATGCATGGCGCTGTGGGAGAGGAGCTGGGGGGCGGGGAGGTTGGGAGAACCGGGGGAGAAAGGGCTGGTGGAGGGGGGTGGCGAGGCCAGTCCTGTACCGTAGTTGGGCGGATAGGGGAACTGCTGGGGGTTGGCCTGGGGGATCCGCGGGTTGCTCATGGTTCCGGGCATGCCTGCGGAGGCCATGTTGGGCGGCAGGTTGAGACCCTGGGCTCGCATGACCATGCTGCGCTGCTGTTGCTGCTGCTGTTGCTGCTGCTGTTGCTGTCGCTGTTGGTCCAGCTGACGCTGACGCAAGTGATTACTCAGCATCTCTCTCTGCCGCTGGGCCAGCATCTGAGCGTTGATTGTCCCCTGGAAGACAGAGACAGTTCTGCGTGTTATTTAGGCAAGCTCGACATTCGGCGCACCAGAGAGCATGCAGGAACTGATTGGGCGAACCTGATTTGGAACGTTGGGTCTTAGAGGTAGGTTCATATTTGACACTCCAGTCATCTGATTCATCATAGGCTGACGATTCTGGGAGAGACACAAAACGCACGATGCCACATTTTCAGAGTCATTTCAAAAGAAGCTTCACTGTAATTACCATTCAATACTTAAGCAATTCTCTTATACTACATTTAAGCAACTGTTCTGTTTCATACAACAACACTCTTGTTTGTATGATACTGATACACATCAGCTTGACAAACAAGAATTTTATCACAAATAAAAGGCATTCCACACACAATAGGACAAGAATTTTTGTTAATTTTTGCTCTGTCATCAAAAGTTTCGTTATGACCCATAACATTGGAATTTTATGTATCATTCAAAGAACAAAACATTCTAGGGCTGTAATACAAAATATCATCAGTCTTGGAGCGCACTGTTGTGCAAATATTACAAATATACTGTTAATATAGGCCTACTATAAGAAAAAATGGTAAGGTTATTTAAAAAAAATATATATATATTTTTCAATTAAAATCTAATTATATTTTAAATAATAATCACATTATATATAATTACCGCTTGTAGCTTCAAATTATCAGACACCATACAGTTATGAGTGATGACCCCTAAATAAACCCAAAATGAGGTCAAGGAACAATTCCTGAAATGTCCAGCAGGGGGCAGCCAACCACAGACGGTACTGATTTACATTAAATAATAGTTTTAGCTTTTGTGTGTGTGTGTGTGTGTGTGTTTGTAAGGATAGACAACGATTATGCAGTAAGTCTTTGGATTAACAAAGCTAAGTGTCACCAATTAACTACCTGTAAAAACAAAACAAAAGCTTTCTATTGTGTTGTTTATATCCACTTGAAAGGGTTTTGTTAAAGGCATAGTTCACCTAAAAATAAAAGAAGCTGTTTTAGAAATGTCTGTTATTTTGTCCAGTTTTTTTGTTAAGGTAATGATTACTGTTTGGTTGCCAACAATCTGCAAAACGTGTTCCACAAACAAAAGAAAGTAATTCAGGTTTGGAACAACATGAAGGTGAGTAAATGATGACAGAATTTACATTTTTTGGGTGAAAGAAAGCAACTAAATGATCACTGTGCTTAATATTGATGGTATCAACAGAAAATAATATAAACAAGAAATAAAAATATAACCACTTGTATTCTACTTGAATCACTCTGGGTTTTCTTCTTGTGTTGGAGAGTATCCACTATACCTGCTGTGCTTGTAGCCTGTGTTGAAGCTGCAGTCTGAGTGTATTGGGTTGGTTAGGGACGACCACGGTGGGCCTGAGTCCTGGTCTGGCCGGCACACGGAGCATGGGGTATCCCGGCCTCTGTCCCATCTGTCCCGTCATGCCGTGGAAGCTGGGGTCCTGCATGGGTGTGTACCCGCCCTGCTGCATGTGGGCCTGGGACGCAGCGTACTGCTGTTGGCTGTACATGGGCGGCTTCTGATCCATCATCATACCCGGGTCCTGACCGGAGAACTGATCCTGCTCCACCGGCTGGGCCTGAACACAAGGATGAGGATACAGTTACACTTTAACAAGCAATAATAATTAATAACTGGTACACATAAATCAGATAGATCTGGATTTTATAGTGATGCATAGAAATATGAGCAATTGAAAATATCTGTCCAAAAAGAATCATGTCTCATGTAATCGCATCAGTGTTTCAACTGCGGAAAGACATCAATAAAAAAAAGCTTGTTAATGTCACATAACATTATATTTACCTCAGGAAAGCCCATTCAATGTCCACAACTGGTGGGTTAGCTACAAAAAATAACTCTAGAGAGGAGAATATTGCTAAATATATGTACTATATTACATATTCTTGATATTTCTACTTCATTATTTAACTTATGTTAGAATAAATATGTCATGATAACATGTTTTTACTAGAGCTACTGTTTAAAAGTTTATATTATAAACTCGGAGTAGAGTAGAAACAATTATATAAACAAAAGTTGATATAAAAATAGCCTTATGTGCAATTTAAATGTTTATATATAGTACTAGAACTGAGGTGTGTCAGAAGTGGAGATAATAGTTCTATTTTTAGTTAAAAAATAAATAAATTATTTTGTCTATAGTAACATGGCGGATAATTATAATGAAAGGAAAGGAAACACGGTCAGTATTGAGCTCATGAAAATTTGATTAATTGATTATTAAATAAACTTTATTTTTGGTTTTTGTCTAATTGTAAACTTTATGTCTGTGCATCACTAGGTATAGTGAAAGATATAGTCAATATAGTGAAAGACAAAAGGGACTGGGTTGTAAAAGAAAAATGTACTACGTACCTGTCCCACTAATGCCGGGATACCGAGTGCACGGTCTATCTCCTCTAGACCATCAAAATCTTTGAGGACCTTGTAGAGCTGGCTGAGGAGAGCGCCCTCATCGGCCGGACCCTCAGAGGGAGGAGGGCCCAGCACATCCTCCTGAGAACCGCTGTATATGGAGCTGACAGACACAAGAGACTCTGATTCAGTAAATGAGACGTGAATGATGGGACATCCCATAATGGATTACATCTGAGTGCATTTGTCAAGCTATTTTGTTAAGGAAGTACAAAATCAACTTGTGCACACAGCAAACGCCTCCAATAAAGCAGACGGTCTAACAATAGTGACAATAATAAATGCTGTTTACCTGTTCTGGTTCCCAAATGGCACCGGCTCTATAGGCATCACACTGTCTGGCCATGGAGCCGTCTGATTGGGCGGTGCCTGTTGCTGGGGAAACTGGTGGCCAGCCATGCCCATATCCATATTTGACTGGGCTGAGGAAGAAACAGAAGATGACAAAATGTTTAAAACCTTTTTTTTTCACCCGCAAATAGGTCGGAATAAGTAAATAAGTCACTGAATAAAGCTGGAAAGGGTCCAGAATAAATGCAAATTTAGAAGACACTCAGAAATATCTGCTCTGTGCACATTTACCATTGGTCATCATCTGGGACTGAAGCATCTGTCTGGGTCCAGGCTGGCTGTTGGGCCTCATGGGCATGCCTGTGCCAGAGTTAGCCACCATGCGAGCGTGGAGCGCCCCCTGCGGGATTGGGTGCTGGCCGGCGGGAGCAGCTGTGGCGGGTGAGGTCGCGCTACCGACGGGACCAGGACCCTGTGCGCCCCAACCGTCCTGCTGCATTCCTACACGGGAAACGTTATTACCCATGACTCCTTTAAAAAAAAAAAAAAAGAAGAAAAACAGAGAAAGAAAAGGGCTTTTAATTTGAAGGTAACTTTTGTTTAATACAAATGTGTAATGCGACATTTGTTTTGATTGAAACTGAGAATTTACACTAGCGTTCAAAAGTTTGGGGACAGTACTTTTGAAAGAAAGGAACTTTTATTCAGCAAGGATGCATAAGATTGATCAAAAGTTACATAGAATCCTTTACATAGGATTACTCAAAAAAAACTTATTAAAATAGTAATAATATGTATTTTTGATCAAATTAATGCAGCTTTGGTGAGCATAAGAGATCTTCAGTGTTGTCAAGTCCGAGGTTTTCCTGCGTTTTTTCGGATAATATCCAAAAATAAGATAAATGTTGATACCGGGTCTCTAATAAGAGTGACTTAGAGGACACAACCTTCAATAATTCTTAAGTTACTGTGGATAGTGTCAGTCTTCATTCCCAAATAAACATGTTTGCATGTTTTGTAAAGCCTGTCAGAGTTAGCGACAGCAACAAAGTGGGCCAGACCGAAACGAAGGGTCAACTGACAAAATAAATGAGATCTATAGGAAAAAATAATGGTCCATATAAAATATGGGTCACACTTTAGATTAGGGTCCTAAGAAACTATTAACTTTTTCCTCAATAAACTCATATTTACTGCTTATTTATAGTAAGGTAGCTGTTAAGTTTAGGTATTGGGTAGGATTAAGGGATGTAGAATATGGTCACACAGAATAAGGTATTAATATGTGCTTTATAAGTACTAAATATCCTAGTAATATGCATGCTAATAAGCAACTAGTTAATAGTGAGAATTGGACCCTAAACTAAAGTGTTACCAATCTGTTATCATTTAATTCACAAAACTTTGAGATTTAAAAAGCGACCACCTGAAAAATGCACGAAGATACAGTATGATCAGAAAAGAAACCTTGCAATTCTTTCCAAAGGTTATGAGTCATTCATATCTAGCCGCTCACAGTCTCACCTTATGTGCACATTCACATGCACACGAATGCAACCCACCACACACAAACAAAACAGAGGGGTTTTCTTATGATCTGACTCAACACTTTTGTGCCGTTTTACACTTTTGTCTTTCTCTTGGCTAACAGCGTCACGCTTGACTGTTCATCAGTGATCACACTGAAACTTTGGTTTGCACATGGTCGAGGCGGCATTGGAACTTTCCTCTCATAGTAGGTGTCAAGTGTGGGGGAAGACCTGTGTTCTACAGACAAGCTTCATTTTGTCCTTTATTTTTTGTTACTGCACATTTAAAGTCATTTCAATGCTGCACTTTTGACCCTAGCTAAAACTCACCTGCATTGACCATGTTGGGCTGACCAGACATGCCACTGTGGTTTCCCATCATGCCTTGCTGCTGCATGAGTGAGTAGGGGCTGTTGTTCCTCATCAGAGGGTACTGACCCTGAGCACCTTTAGCAGGCATGTTCATTTCCAAAGACACGCTTCTGACCGGAGGAGCTCTGCCGGGATGCCCTTGCCGCGGCGCACCGAAATCTATGAACACACACACACCAGTAAAAACACCCTATTTAGTTGAAGTCTGGTCTTAGAGAGTTTCTCTCTGAAAATGAGTGAATGATCATGTATAATGTTCATTGTATCACATTATGGTTTGTGTGAATGCTTACCCATTTTCACTTATTTTAGTTGACTAGCCAGTGTTAACTAAATGACTCGACACACACACACACACAAACTGTGTAGCATTAGCGGTCTTTGCTATTTCTGACATGTCTCAGTTGACAGAGTGAGTGAGAGTGAATATACGCGCAGCTGAAATCATGTGGATGAGAAACAAAAGACAAACTCATGTTCTACTTTCAGGGTGTTTTCGCAAACATTATGACATGTTTGTAAATGTAAAGCGCTCTGGGTTCACTCCATTGTGACGTTCATTTATTTGAAATATTTGATATAAATATTTCAAATATGAACAGAGGAATTTTCCTCCTGCTGTCACCTTGTAAACAAGTGCAAATAAATCCAAGACTAGTCAATGAAACTCCTTGTAAATACACAAACGCACATTCACACTTACTATCATGTGAAGTCTGAATAGGATTACGATGTCAGAGCTGGTTAAAGGTGACATACAGTTGTTCTAAAGGAAGTGGATTACATAACACAACATACACAAGGCTCAAACCAAGTGCATTACATTGGTCTAATCTTCCTACAGTTCAAGAGGGTAATTGTGCATAAATTTGAGAGATAAGGCAACTATTTGTATACAAACAAGCACACTTGGAAAGTTGTTCACATTCAATTTTGTCTTTTAAAGAGCCCCTATTATGCTTTTTTCAGATATTACCTTTTATATAGTGTTTAATAAAAGATTGTGCTGTTTGTGAATGTAAAAGATCTGCAACGTTTGTACATTTTTTTAGTTTTTGTCTCCCAAAAGAAAGAACAAATTCTGACCTGACTGAAGCGAATCGTCAGCAATTCCATTACTTTCTGCACAAATCTATGTAGGTTTGTAACAAATTTGCATAATGGCAGTCTACGGTTTTCATTGGCTGCCTGCAAACCACATCTATTTCAACCCGCCCTCAAACACTGTAGTTATAGCTGAGGACTGGATGAGTTTGGTTCATGTTTTCGACATGTCAAGAAGACACTGTTTTCTGCTCTGGAAAAGCATATCCATTTTGCATGCACTTCCTAAGAATGAGGATTGAGCTCATATCTCGCTATCCATGACGAGAACTCCGAAGATTCGATTTATATTTGTTTTGCGGAGACACAGTTATGTTGCCAAGTATAAATGGAACAGTTTTAACAAAACGGACAGCTATCTGATCAGTAAAAATGCGTAAATGACCCGGTAAAAATAAGCCCAGTGAAAATCTGTTCTTCAAGGTCTACTTTAAAACTGAAAACAAACAGAAAGGCAAGGAAGCCGCTGAATTTCAGATTTGGTAATGGACGCTTTGTTTCCGACACACGCTATAAACGGTAGACCAAACACAACAGACTGGGCCATCCGACCAACCAGAGAAGAGTAGGCTCTCAGAAAGGAGGGGTTTAGAGAAACCAAATCCTTTATTTAACCATCTCAGACACTGTGAGAAAAGAGGTGATGCTGCAAAAGTGTTTTTCAGAAGACCTCCAAACCAAATTGAGGAACCTTTAATATAGCATAATTAGGACACTTTAAGGGTTGGAACGCACTACACTTCTTTTGCCCTGATTTAAAGTCCGGACAAGTCGAAAAGTCAGAGCCAGTCTGCAATTTTGAGATGACATTTCACAGAAAATGGCGTACTGTAAGATGGACACGGACTCCACGGATTCCATCCAGTCGAAGGATATCAAGCATATTTGGTTATTGAGCTGATTTTAGAACACATTGTTCACATTACACAATTGTAAATAAAGATGAATGGAGTATGTTTTAAAAGAAAATACTACTTTCTATTTCAAAATGTCACATTCAATTGAATGTTACTTGGGATTTGTTTGTAATTAACTGTGAAATTGACCATTTTTAAGTGAAAACTGTTTCTACACCAATTTTTTTTTTCAGTGTAGCAATTGTGTAATGTATGATGCCCAGTTTTTCCTCTGTAACCATTTAAAAAGTCGTCAAGTGCCTAGTGTTTTAAAATCAGTCCAGATTTGAAAAGTAGTGTATTCCATCCTAGATGAAAACTGTAGGAGAATGTGTGCGTGTGTGTTACTCACTCTGTTGGCCCACAGCCTGTAGTGCTCTCTGTTGCTGGGGACCCATGCTGGCTCCACCCTCTCCAGTCATCTGAAGGATGTCATTGATGATTGACTGCTTGTCCACGGCAGCAGGCAAAGACACCGGCCGGGAGTCCGTGAACAGGCTTGGCTGACTGTTCTGTAGATCATCCAGGATAATATCCAGCTCGCTCGACTGCAAACACACAAGGGAATTTCTCAAGCTTAGATGTCCCATTAGTCTCTGAAATCATCATGATACATATAAAAATATGACTGTCAAGGTCAAGTTTCTGGTGTTTTTTAGATGCACGTGAAAATATCTTCTTGTATATAACATACCAATGCACTTTATCATACATAATGACATTGTTTGACATGCATATTGTACAGTCACAAGGCTTGGTATCTTAAAGTCTCGAGGATTTAGACCTCAGTAGGGAAACGCTGGAGAGTTCGAAGTCTGCCTGCTAAATCACACCCCTCTCCCTCTCACATGTACACACACACACAGGGCTGGAATCTAGGACACACTTCACATTGAGTTAAAGGAGGCTAGCTGCACACTACTCCATTTGCCATGGTTCGGTTACCATCTTTAAATCCTAGATTGCTTCTCCATCATAGCAAGATCTTCTAAATGCACGCAGGCAAACACACTCAACACGATCTGGAACGCAGCTCGACTTTAAATACATCATCGATTTGACTTCAAATGCTTTCATCTCCCTTCATAAGCTTTTACAAATATTTATTACCTTAGAAATCTAAATGCACACTTGGCTACAGCGTCTATGTTGCATTTGAAATATCTGCCCTAATGCATTGCAACTTTTTTTATTCTGGTTTTAAGTTTGACAAACTCCAACTCAGCCTGTTGAGATAAAAAAACCTTCTTACACCGTTGCATTTCAGATAAACAATGTCGGCTTGAAGATTCAGAACTGTACTTTTGTTTGTCTTGAGCTGTCGTCGTCAATCAGAAAAGACTAAAAAAAATGCATACAACTCCTACTAAATGACACTAAATAAATGCTAAATCAAGTCTCCTGTACACAAGCACTCTACAGTTGGAGCTATAAACATTTATGCTGGCTAATATATAGATTTGAAGAGAAAGCCAGTTCAGGAACTTTTAATAAATATGCATTAAAATCTATAAGTCACCACAAGGGGGCAGCACACGTGACGTCACTATCACAAAAAGGACAGGATAATACAGATTGATCTATCATTTAGAATATTCCAGAGCAGCTCTACTGCAAGATCTCAGCATGTATGTATAATATATATATATATATATATACACCAGGACAGTGGGCCGCAGATGAGAGTTTATGTAAGCACATGCGTCTAAGGCTTGTTATGGACAAGGCTGAGAGGTCAAAGATCACATGCTGTATATTATTCTGTTGAAAGTGTGCCTTCATGCCGCATCTCTGCAGCGTAATGAAGCCGTGGGTCTCTCCTGCCATTGATTTGCGACTCAGTGTTCAGCGTGGAGGAAAAGCGCTGCACAAACAGGATGTGAGCGGAGAGGAGGAACTGCTTAATGAGGTCACTCTCCTTGTGTAGCGCTCGGAAGCTCTTTTCCCAATCTTTCTCCCTCTCTCATCTCACACACACACACACACACACACACACGTGTGAACACCACCTGTCCCTGGCTGCCCTCTTGAATCAAACCTGCTGCTGATTATTCACTGTCCATGCATCTCACAGGCTGCTTGTTTCAGCCATCTCTACTTCCACTTTCCAATTATCCCTCTCTGGTCTCTCTCCTGTGTATTATTCTGTGTGCACTTGCTCAGTCCAGACAGGAAGGTGCCTGCGCATTAGCATGGATTCTTTATATCGCACTGAGCTGCACCTCCACGGATCACTTGCTCGCCAGTGGGAGCGCTGACGTCAGCGTGATGTTGAGCCAATAGTGGAAAAGCTCCCTTTGTGGAGATCTATGAGACCTGCGTTTCTCATCAGCTACTAGAGCTTTACAGTAAAACAATCTGACATATTCCACTATAATTTACACTTTGGGATGGTTATTTTTGATGTGGGTAGATGATAAAAGACATGTCCATGAACTTTTACTGTTAACATAACAATTTTAAGTTAAATTGCATATGAATGTATAAGGGAAAGTGTATATTTAGAGATTCTGTGATTGGCCATAATTTATTCATTTTCCCCCACCCCAGTTCACTTTACCAGTCTTAAAGCATGACAAAATGAACTTTATCGTTATTATTAGGTCATTGGAACTGCAGGTATGCTATACCGTTTAAAAGTTGGAGGTCGGTATGATTTTGTAATGTTTTTTGCAAGGAGTCTCTTGTGCTTAACAAACCTGAATTTCTTTGTTCAAAAATACAGTAAAAACAGTAATATTGTAAAATATTATTGCCATTTAAACTAACAGATTTCTATTTTAATATATTTTAAGATGCATCTTCAGAAATCATTCTAATATGCTGATTTTGTGCTCATTATTATCAATGTTGAAAACAGTTTTGCTGAAGTAAATCATGATACATTTTTATAGAAAGTTCAAAAGAACAGAATTTATTTGAAATGGAAACCTTAAATGCCACTCTTGATCAATTTAACAAGTCCTTGTTGAATTAAAATATTAACTTTCTATAAAAAAAAAAAAATATTAAAAAAATCTTACTGGCCCCAAACATTTGATAGGCAATTATGTATGTTAAATTATTTTATTCATGTATAATAAATAAATAAAAATAATTCGATTTTTAAAGCATGTCACATGTAGTCAATTCATGAAATTTTACGACTAAAACAAAACGTTGAAAGATATGTTTTAGGACATTCTATGCAAATTCCTGAAAGTTACAGGCGAAAATCAACCTTCAACACTTTTCAGGCCAAAGACCCTTAGTGGATAAAGAGACAAATCAGTGCGAAACTAGAGACCTAATGCTGGTTAGATGGGACGAGGGGCTGTTAGTTGTGTAGACAGGAGGGTAAGAGGGGTTACAGGGTTAATTGGCACGCATAGGAACCACCAATGAAGTGACATTGTCAGGGTAGGGACAGCTGTCTGCACCGCATGTGTGTGTGCAACCGAGGAATGGTGTAAGAGTGCCGATTAGAGCTCTGTGAGGGGTTGGGAAAGGCAGAGGAGTGACACCCTATCCCTGAGTCACACTTCCTGCTGCAGAGATACACATGAACCTCAGCAAGAGCATCAGACTGTAACACGCATACAAAGCTCGCTATAGAAGCACACGTAGCAATGCATTATGGGATTGCCTTCCCCATAAAGTATGCATGAGATGCATATCTGGTCAAAATGGGTTGTCTTAAAAGGCTGTCTACTACCTTAAAGAATAACGTTTGCATCCTAACTGCACATGATGCTGTGAAATGCTGCTTGGCAAGGCAGCTGTTTTAAAACAGAACTAAAGAGAAGCAAACTAGGACATGCAGGATGTAAGAGAGACTGAATGATCAATAGGGTGAGCGAGAGAGAAAGAGGGATTGATACATCAGTGAACAGACTGAGTGAAGCCACTACAGCTGCCTGGATGACAGCGATATGTGCATCTGGGGCATTTCTACCGTCTGCCATAAAAAAAAAACTACATTATTGAAAGCAACCCTGTCCAGAGCCACTGAAAGCCTTTAACTGCAAGCCAACTGTGAAAATAACTGGGTGCATCGAACGCCGTTGGTGAAAGATTCAAGAGTGGCCGCGCTCTACACACACACGCCGTCAATGAAGACTCCTTGAGCCGTGCTCTTCGCCATCATGACCTTTCATACAGATCCCTGCTTCTCTTCAGTTTCAACTGTAACTATCACACCAGCCTGCTGCTCATCTCATCACAGGAGAGAGAGAGGGAGAGGGAGAGAGAGATGAGTGGTGAGAGGTCACTGGTTCTGTTCCAAATGCTAGTGATCCACCTCTCTAAATGCGTTTATATGCACTTCCTTTACTCGATTACGCTTAATGAGCTGACATGCATGTGGTCATGTAAATGCATTAACCCTTTTTCCTTTATTGGAGTAAGGTCATAAATCACTTAAGCATAAAATGATCGACACACCTAGATTTTTGGCACTCAGCCTGATTTCGCCCGCACATTAACCTGCATTCTGTCGGCTTATTGAAGAGCGCATGTGTGATATGTAACGGTGTCCTTACTGCAGATTTAAAGGAATAGTTTTCACCAAAAATGAAAATGTTGTTATCATTTACTCACCCTCAATTTGTTCCAAATGTGTGCGAGTTTCTTTTTTTCTGTTGAACACAAAAGAAGATATTTTGAAGAATGTTGGTAACCAGACAGTTGACGGTAGCCATTGACTTTCACAGTAGGAAAAAAAGAAAATAAGTCAATGGCTACCGTCAACTGTCTGGTTACCAACATTCTTCAAAATATCTTCTTTTGTGTTCAACAGAAGAAAGAAACTCATACAAGTTTGGAACAACACGAGGGTGAGAAAATGATGACAAAATTCCCTTTAAGTGCACCCTGACAGACTGAGCGTTTATATAAAGTATATCACAAACTTTAACTTTTTCTAGACTCAAGACATTATAAAACCATCTCTTCAGCTGAAGTAGATGTGGTACAGCAAAAATACAGCGTATTTATTAAAACATCACATCTCATGTAACATAAATCAGATACACAGATGATCAGGTTTTGAAGTCACTACCGGGGAATAACCAGATTTTTTAATCAAGTCGTTGCAAACGCGGTTTACTTGCGTTGCTGGGTTATTGGTTTGCATGTGAACCGGGACAACAGATTAATTTAATATGATGATTTTTTGTGGATATTTACATCACATTATAGGATTGCCCTATTTGTGAAGAATATACTACCATTCACAAGTATGTCAGCATCAATTTTCTTTTGAAGAAATTAATACTTTTATAGCAAGGATACAGTAAAGACATTTAAATGTTACAAAAGATCTCCATTACAAATGAATGAGTTTCGTTTGAACTTTCTATTCGTCAAAGAATCTAGAACAAAATGTATGGTTTCAAAAAAAATATTCAACTGTTTTCAATATTAGCAGTTTCCAAGACATAAGAAGACATGCACATAAACGACGATGGAAACACATTTACCGAACAAATCCCTCGATGCGCGCAAAAACCAAAAAAAAAAAAAAAAACTCTTGTGACTTTGCCTCAACAGTAGATGTGATTGGATACCTGCACTAACCAGCGGACCAATTTCATTCTCAAATGTTGGTTTGATCATTCTGGAATGTCTGAGCCAAAGTCTGTCATCAAAATGATTTGGTTTAATTTCCTCCCAGAAGCCTCTTACATGATTGCATTCCCAAACAACAGCCTTTTAAATGCAAGATGACATGAAAGCGTTTATTGAAGTCATTTATGATGTAGGGGAAAAAGAGCCACAGTGACTTCTCAGACTTTCATTTTTATTACAGGTATTTTGCGTCAATATTACTGTTTGAGCATAAGAGACTTCTTTTAAAAACATCAAGTGTCTAACAATTTCGCTGTATACTGTTGAGAACACGCCTATGATGCCTAAAAATGCTATCCTGGGTAGGCAGCTCCCTAGAGATTCTCTCTTTCTCCCACTCCTGCAACATTTCATCCTCTTTTCTCCCGCATCCTCACTAATTCAGTTCTTTCCTTTAGTCTTCCGTTTGTTTCTGCGCGTCCGTGCTCGAGCATCTCCTCCATCACTCTTCCTGTCCTGCTGTGGCCTCCCTGCTCTGTAAATCACTGTACTTCATGTTCTCAATGGCGCTGTCGTGGAGACCGTGAGGTCAGAGGTTCCTCTCTAGCGGAACTCTGGGTCTTTTCCTGGTAACCGAGAGGCGTTGAGATCACTCTGCTAACAGCGGCAGCTTCCCGAGACCGCTGCTTTGATTTGACAACTATGACTCAATTTGTGGCTCAATCAACAGCTTTTAAAAGAGGCCCGGGAGGCTCAGTGAACGCGAACACACACATACAGGATAATCTCTCTATTCTGTTGTTTGGTCCCCGACGCTCCTCAAACTTTACCGCCGCTGTGCCAGGCCTGATTGGTGCCCGGTGCCAGCTCTGTAGGGCATGTGCCAACCGCTGTGCCAGATGAGATGCACTGAGCACCACTGAGACGCCTTTTTTTCAAATGTCACAGAGCTGCTTCTGAGAAAGTCCTGCCAGTTTCCCACAGAATCGACTTCCTGTGACAGAGCTCTCACTTTCCCTTTCTCTCTCTCTCTCTCTCTCTCTCTCTCTCTCTCTTTCTCTCTCTCCAGCTGGCTGAGTCATTTATATCCCTGCTGTTACCATACTGCCTCGATCTGGGGCTTCATTGGCCGGTTTATAAATCTGTTGTTTGCTCTACTTTCACACCCAAATAGAGAGGAATACAAAAAGAGATACAGAGAGTGAGAAGGGATGCATAGACTCTTACAACACAGAAACATACTGAAAAGAAGGTGATAAGTGCATTTGAACATATTGGCATATTGGTTACATTTGTGTGTAAGTTCCCCTGCTGATGACCTTTCCGACATGCAATACCTTTTACATCTAACCAAAACAACCATTACCCACACACCCACTAATGATGAATCTTTCCTACATTCACCAAGGCGATGCTCCATTGCAATCCATCAAAAGTCCAATTCAAAACCAGCAGAAGTGATTCGGATGGTGGTTTTGCATATATAAACTCTCAGTACTTTCTGTTCTGTTAAACTCTATTGACAGCATGCTGTCAGTTACCACAGAAAATAATTTTAACTTGTGCATGTAAACAAATAATGCATTTACATTTATGCACTATTGCATTATGACTCTAATCGTCTTTTTGAGGCTAGTGGATATTGTAAGCAACTTCCAAAAAAAACCACTAGACTAAAATATACATATACATAGCATATGCAGTATAATAAACTAGATATTGTAAAAACATTTTTTGTATCTGGTCTCTAATCTGACTGGACCAGACCACTGGTGAAAATAAAATAAAATCATAAAATAAAATAAAATGCCAATCAGGTATGGGTCAAAATTATTTTCTGTGGTAATATAGACATTGACATAATTAAATATTCATTTACAGTTGGTGATATCACTTACCTGCTCCACACGCTCATAGCCACCATCGGTTTTCTCGGTCTTAATTCCCTGCATCTTACCGCCCTCCACCTTTATCTCCCCAGATCCTTTTTCCTTGAGTGCGTTATCATCTTTATCCAGTAGGTAGCGCAGCAGGGCATTGTCCTTCTTCTTGGGGCTGACGGGCTCTTGTTTAATGGCTAAATCAGCCACACCGGCCGTCCCACCTGCAGAATCCTGACACAGCTCCTTCCCCGTGGCCTCGGCCGTGAGTTTGGCCAGGTCGACGGGCGATGAACTGTTCTGGAGAAGTCTGTGAAGGATCTTATGCTTCTCCTTCAGAGAGGTAGCATGTGTCCCGGCTCCGTTTTGAGAGCCCATGCCGCCATTTCCTGGGCCGCCGGTGGGGTCTTTACCCCCGGGCTCTCCACCACCCATTGGTGGGGGTGAGGTGGACTCGATAGGCTCAGTTTTAGTGGTGAGGAGCTGCAGGAGTTTAGTATGTCCTTTGTTGTCACGTAGCCGGTTCTGCGGGTCACTGGCGTCCGGGTTGTTAAACTGGCCCTTTTCGTCTCTTTGCTGTTCGATGCCATCGTCCTGCCCGTTGTTGCCCTGCTCCGATTGGTTCTGCTCTCCGAATGACTCAGAGGCTCCCATTTTATTCAGCAGGTGAAGATTCATGCCCATCGCAGCTGGCGAGCCCAACTTCCTGTCGGGCGAGCCCAACGATTGGCCGTGGCTCACGCCGTGGCACTCGCTAAGCGCCTGAAGGGCATTAAGGGAACTGCTTGTGTAACCATGATTACCGCCTGCTCCCCCATTGCCACCTGTACTGCTAGTGCACATGCTCGCAGGTGAATGGAGGCTGCCTGCTGGGGAGAACTGAGGCGGGGGCAAACGTGGAGACCCTGCCACTCCGGGACTTGCTCGGTGGCATGGAGACAGCATGCCCGGACTGCCCTGAGACGGGCTGCTCAACTTCAGTGGATAGCCACTGCCCTGAGGGGTGGCCGCCTGCATGGTTGCCGAATGGCTCATGGTCCCTGGGCAGCCGAAACGGTGGCCCTGTACAGGTCCGATGGCGCCAGGCTCCTTCTGGCCACCAGGGGAGGGGAAAGTGGATGTGTTGCTGCTGACGGTGGCATCCTGCCCCTGGGGGGCGCCGGAGGAACCAGCTGGATTGGGAGAGCTCATGGGGTTCATGGGCTTGACCATAGCCTGAGCATTTCCGAGATCGGGGGTCATGCCACAGACGGGCTGCTCCCTAAAACAGAAAAAAATACACAATATTATAGTCGCCAATAGATTATCTAAAGAATACAGTTCAGTTTATGCTGCAACACACACATAGCACAAACTTAGTTTTGTAGATAACGATGAACCTAATCATTACAATCTTGATGCATTACGAACATAAGCCACATTTCCACCGAAATTACCCGGAACAATTTGTCCCAGGAACTTTTTTCCCCCCAAACCTGTTGCTGTCTGCGTTTACACCGCGGTCTAAAGTACCGCGAAGATTAGGCAAATTAGTCCGGTGACGTAGGACTGCACGCTACTTTACAGTTCCCGCTGGATTTCATCTACTGAATTTAAAGGTGCTCTAAGCGATGTCAAGCGTTTTTTAGGCCAAAACATTTTTTGTCACATACAGCAAACATCTCCTCACTAACCGCTGGCTGCATGTCCCCTGAACACACTGTAAAGAAACGCGATCTCTGTAGACAGCCCAGGCTCCACAAACAGCAGCAAAAACAAACTGGGCTAACCCGCTCCAAGAAACATGACAAACACTTCCAGCCAATCACCGACAAGAAGGACTTGGGGGCGGGGTTTGGGGGGTTAGTGCGCGGATGAGGAGGAGGGAGGGTCTAGCTAGCCTCCGTTTTGTTTGACAATACTTTAAACGTCAACAAGAAGTGACGTCACCCGACATCGCTTGCCTTAGAGAACCTTTAAGCTTAATAAAGCCTGAACCTCATCGGTCCATCTGTCGTATTTTTGAAACTCCATTGTTGATTCGAATAGCAAACAACTGTTACTGCACGCACCGCAACAGATTTAAAAAACTGGTGGTTGAAATAAAATGCTGCGTGGAGTCAACCAATCAAAATGTTTACCCGGAACTTCATTTCGACCCTGGTTCCTGCGGTGGAAACACACTGAGTACCACCCCAAAGTCCCTAGTTCCAGGGAAAGTTCCTGCGGTGGAAACGTGGCTATAAAATTCATAATTGGTAATACTTGCTTAGGAGCAAATTAATGTTTTTATTGTTAATGAAAACTAAAACTATTAAAAACAGATTTAATTAATTTCAGTAATTTAAAAGCTGAAAGAAAATATTAAATGAAAAAAAAAAAACTTAAGAAATGTTGTTTTTGCAACTAACTAAATAAAACAAGTTACTAAAATTAAAATTAAAATAAAAGCTAAAACGAAATATTAAAAAACAAACTAATTCTTGAATTACAATGAAAACAGAAAATATAAAATATAAGCAAATTCAAAGAATTAATAAACACTATAAAATTATATTAAATGAAAATGAACACTGCTGAAGGTTAGACATATGATTAAACCAATAAGCGCGCACACACGCACGCACACACAAATCTCTTGCCGTCATTGTGGTGACTATTACATATTTAATTATTATAAAAAGAAAGAGACGGTTAAAAGGAGAGAAGTTTGTTTGTTTGTTTCTGACAAACAAAATCAGAAAACAATGCCTCATTAGTTCAGGCAGGGCATGCCAGTCTCACCAGGTTGGCACGTGCTGTTGACTATGGTGTTTTAATTGCGATCCAAGGAATTCATATTGATTTCCAAGTAAATTCTATTGAAACTATTTCATTACATTAATCCAGTGCAGTCATTTGTTAAATTAATCTCGCAGACAGGAAGCGATTCTTTTAGTGCTCGAACAAGGAATCCGAGAAAAGAGCTTAAGTGGAATTTCAGGAATGGCTTAATTAACTAAAGTATGTTTCAGCAGAGAAGGTTAAAAGAGGGGAACGAATTGTTATCAAAGAAAAACAGCACTGCTCATCCCTCAAAACAAGCCACGGGACAGAGAAAACGAGCGGCTGTGCTGTCGCATCCCCCTTTAATGTAGAAATCACCTCGGGGTTTAAAGCTTTTAGCAAGCTACATACTAAAAACTCACTCAGAGCTGATAAATGCATAGAGATGCTTTTGTTCGAGGCGTGCAGGATGAATCAATGGTTAGGCTATAGTGTGTGTTATTGTGCTAAAGATGCTGTGCTTTAAGACAGCACCCCCCACCCCCCCGCTGTGAGCTCACTCTGGGTTTAATGTTTATCTGTGCTCGACACCCCAGCCTAACACTGCTGCTATTGTCTCAGAAAGCAAACCAGTGTTTCTCCCTCACACGCTGTGAGAGAGATAAAAACTCTGCAGCTAACATATGAAACTGTGTTCACAACTGCCTGCTGTGGACCCAAGCTTTACAAATCCATAGACCAAATGATTTGATTCTATGTGAAACTGCAATCTTTGACTTTACGCAATGATGCTCCAGGAAAAAGAAATTTACTAGCATGTAATTGAAGCCTTTATGTTGTTCCAAACTTGTGAGACTTTCTTTTGTGCATGTGTTTACAATGAATTGGGACTAAAGCTTACAAGGTTCAAAAAGGACATCAAGCATAATAAAAGCGGCCCATACAAATTGTGACTTTTGTTATAAGTTTCTGAAGTCATCTAATAGCTTTGTGTGCGAACATCTAGTAGTTATTCACTGATAATATTCCCCTCTAATCATCTATTAACTGCTGTGACTGAATCGGTTTGTGAACTGGTCTGGACAATGATTCACTGAAAAGATTCAACTCAAAAGAATGAATCGTTCATGAATCACTACTTAAATTTTGGTCTGATCCTCACACAAACCTATTGTACAGCTTCAGAAGATTTAGAGGTATCACTTTAGTTTAGGTTCCAATTCACACTATTAACCAGTTGCTTATTAGCATGCATAGTACTAGGATATTGTCTGTTTATTAGCACTAATAAAGCACATGTTAATTAATCTTATTCTGCATGACCATATTCTACATCCCTTAATCCTACCCAATACCTAAACTTAACAACTACCTTACTAAATATTAATAAGCAGTAATTAGGAGTTTATTGAGGCAAAAGTCATAGTTAATAGTGAGAATTGGACCCTAAACTAAAGTGTGACCGACAGAGTATAGTAAGTCATGTAGACATATTGATTCTTAACACTATTTTTAAAGCTTGAAAGCTCCCCATGTATTCTTTCTTTATGTTCCACAGAAGAAATAAAGTCATACAGGTTTGGAACGACATAAAGGGTGAGTAAATCACAGAATTATAATTTTTGGGTGAACTGTCCCTATAAACTTGGAGCTGTTTGTATTCAATTACTCCATATTTAACTAAACCAGCAATCAAATTCTGAGGAATCATTAAGGGTGAAAACACTTGTTTGCCAATGTGTAGCTGTGGGAGTTGAGGGACTCGTGTTATTCTTGGTTCTGATGGAATGTTTAGAGACCAACGTCGGCCTCTGGGAAAACACGCTTGGATGTTCTCACATGACAGTGAGATTTCAGTGTATGGTCATTAACTGGGCTTGTCAGAACTAGAAAAGTGTGTGTTTCGACTGACTGCTCACACATGGAGCCGAATCAAGCAGGAAACAGCGAGAAGAGGGTCAAAAATGACAAACATAGTCATGTTCATAAAATGCACCATTGCGATTAAATTAAAAACACAGATTCAGACATAAACAGAGACAAAACAATTGAAGTGCAGGCACACATAGAGATCTGTGCGGCTGGGTAGTGGGTACCTCTGTAAGATGTGCAGGGACATGTAGAGCTGTGGCTCGTTGGTAGCAGGTGAGCGAACCAGTTTGCTCTTGGTGTGAGCTGAGACGATGGTCCCGTCGGACAGGGAAAACCGGTAGATGGGACTGAACGCCTGCCCATGCCTTATCACTGCAAAACAAAACACATGATTGGAACATCAAAACATTCATTTTGAGACATACATAGGTAAATGGAACACTAAAACAAACAACATCTAAATTGTACTCAAAAAGATTAATACGGTCACATCTGCGTTCAACCATTTTCTTCCAACATGTCTTGACAAAATAATAGTAACTATCATCACACATAAACCCATATCATTTCTGTAACATTGCCAGACTTACTAAACTATGTTTTATACACACCGTTCAAACTACTGTTCTCCTGATTTTGTTCACATGGTTGCTAGAGCACTAAAATACTGAAATACAGTAATGTCTACTACTGTACATATCCTTATGACAGTAGTTACGATTGATCTTCATATTTATGCATTTATCCTTGAATTAAAGATTGCATTTTTCGAATGAGGTTAAAACAAGACTATTAACATATCTCTGTATTTGCACTCTCATTATAGTAATTCATGACACAAGAAGTGTGTAAGAGTTATTGGCCAAATATCAAGCGTAACGTTAGTTATGGCAGGTCGTGTCAGTCAAGCTTGGATCAGCTGATCCACGTCTACCTATAGGAATACGATGCCTATCACAGCAGCCAATCAGTGAGTCAATCAGTATTATCAGCATTGCTCAGGAGCTAATTACCCTCCTCCATCCCCAGCTCCTCCTCTCATCCAGTCAGGATTAGGACTTCTGATTCCCCTTCGAATCAGACTAATTTCTCAAATTATGTTGTATATTAAAATATCAAACATTAATGATATCTGCAATACATTTATGTTGGTTATGTTTATCGCTGCTCTCCCTGCTCTTATCCATGCTAGGCTGTATGGCTGAACAGGGAGTTCTTGCCCAGAACAGAACACTGCCAATCCAAACTATATGTTAATTGTCAATCATCTTTGACGATAGTGGTCCTGACAGAAAAAAAGATTTGTTAAAATTACTATGGTGTTCAGATGTAAGGTAGTTATCTGGAATAATATTATCAAATATATCGTAAATATTTAAATGCACAATAGAGTGCAACAGTTGGGTTCTTAATATTTCTTTATAGAAAATTGATTTTTGAAAATTGATTTCTGAGGTTGTTGATCGATGGTATATGCTTTTTTTTGAAGCCATCAGTTCACATTATTTCAACTTATTTTTAAAGTAATGTTTTACAGCAGAATTTCTGGTGGAAAAAACTACATTTCCCATGAAGCTGTACAGAAAATTTCACCAATCAGTCACATAAGCAAATCATGCCAAAAGACCTTGTTAGCTCCGCCCATTCCCATGAAGCACTGCAAATGATGTAATCGAGTCGCTCTCTCTACGCTCTCAAAATACTTTAACATTTGTATATATACATGCATATTTTGCAACACATTTATTCTTTATATAGATATAATATTTATGTCATTCAGAATGCTTCAAGGGATGGTAGTTTTTTCACCTCACTAAAGCCATTAAGTACACGGTCTTGTACAGTCGTCTTTTTGTCGATTTTCAAATACTTTTTTTGCATCAAATTTGTAATGTTATGATTCATCTTGTAAATGGTTGGTGTGGTTCATGGCTTGTAATGCTTAAAACATTTTTTTTTTTGTCCCTATGGGAAAAAATATTAGAAAAAATACATCTGGAACCAACGCAGCTGAAAATGTGTGCAGGCACTAATGCACTCCATAGCTACTTTCACACATGAAAGCCAAAATGACAACATCTCTTACCATGACATGGCTAAGTGTTGAGTCAGTTAATTAAGTGATCAGTACCTTCTTGCTGATGCCGCTTGGCGAATGACATATCTCCGTCGTTCTGGAGGTGAAATCGCTGAATGCATCTCCGCACCAAGTCTTCCCAGCCTGGCTTCATAGACGCTCGTAACAGACTGGTGTCCAGGGAGGTGATCTTACCTACAAACACACAGTACAGCAAAAAGTTTGATGTTGTCTGTTACAAGTTTTCAAGCTTAAATTTCTTAAAGGTCCCATATTGTCAAACATTTAATTTCCTGGCTTTTTTCATGATAACAGAGGTCTAGGGACTATGTAACCACCACATAAGTTTCAAAACAGTCAATCCATAGACAAATGCACACAGCCTGCATAAAGTAGCTGTGCCTTTTCACAAGCCGTTGTGACTTCCGTAAAAATGTGATGTCAGAACTACTCAGTCACCGCCTTCAGTCACCAACACAAGCACTGCCCACAATCCCACCCTCCTTTTGCCCAACTCCCAGACAACATCGTTGCTGAGCAACAACAACACGGACGTAAGGTACTCGTGTGTGTGCGGGTTGCGGGACTCCCGCAAAATAGAAATATCTAAAAATAAAACATCTAAAAACAAATAAATTGTTATTCATATGTTGCACAAAAGCAACAAGAATAACTAAAACTAAATAAAAACGATTTACAGGCAGTTTGCAGTGTTGAGCAATGTAGCCAATCACAGACATACATGTTGATTTCTTGAACGCAATGCCCAATCAGAAGCATTTAAGATAGAATCCACTCACCACTCAAAACTGAGTTTTTGTTCAGTGCTGAATTCTGCATGCTGGCAAATCCTCTGATTTTAACAAACGAAGTGTTGAAATTATGAAAGATTTATTGTGCAGTCAGCTTCATTGACAATAACTGAGCTTTGTGAGATCGTGATGAACTGAGATATCAGGTTTTTAGGAATTATTAAGAGAGCGCACTTTGCGCTATTTCTGTCATGCCAAACCATGCACGTAGTAGCCTATGCTTGCTTTTATGCTAAATTAACAGTGGTTTGTGAATGTTTATGCTTTAATAACAAATAATTTGGTTTAATTTACCTTACTTGTGAGCATCACCAAGCCACAGCAGGCTACAGAATACATGACCCTAATTACCAGTGTTTGGCCTGGCCGTATGTCACTCAGAAAACAACAGGCCAATCAGAAGAGAGGCTCATGAATATTAAGTAGACAGGCCAAAATCGACCTGTTCTTGGCAGAGCTCCTGAGAAAGGAGCTGTGAAAATATATTGAGATGGTTTTAATACAAATATATATTCTTAAGGACATCAAAACCTAAAATAAAACTTCAGAAAGGTGTGCAATATAGGACCTTTAAAGGATGTAAAGAATGTTTAAGCACAGCTGAGGCTGATCTGCAAAGCAAACTAAATGTATGTATTGACAGTATGGTTAAGTGGTTCGAGCTGAATTAATTGCAGACATTAAATACTTAGGGTTATGGATGTAGAATAAACCCCTTAGCAGCATGCTTGGGGAATATCAAATATCGAATGTTATTTTGTAAGAACTGTCTGTGACCAAAAAACAACACATGACAATGTATGACAGACATACCTCCGCTTTGTAATCTCTCTAAAACTGGGAGTTTCCAATAACTAGCCACATCAGAATGTGACAACAGGTGTGGTTGGTGTGACAGTAAAAACTCTTGATTTTCCCATTGTGTGATCTCACTGTCCAGATGCATAAAGTATGACTAAAATACTTAAATTCAGAACTCAGACAGAGATACAGTTGCATTGTGTATTGTTTATGAATTAACAGAATGACACATACGCTAGATGAATATTTGAAGGCTGATTTTAAGTAAATAAAAAAAAGTAAGTAAATAATGTTTTTTTTAATTGATACAAATTTTTGCCAGACAATGAAACATTGAAGTGGTCACCGGCTGTTCAGTTGCATGCACAGTTGTATGCATGTATATATAAATAATAATAATACTATTAATAATATTTATTTATATATAATCAATAATGTATAATTAATTTGTAATGAATACAAATAAAACACAACTGGGAAGCAAGACTCATTCATATTAATAAAATAAAAATATAATATAATTAGTAATGTATAATTAATATAATATAATAATAACAATTAATAATGTATAATTAATTTGTATAATGTGAATTCAAATAAAAACACTCACACACACACACACACACACACAACAGGGAACATTCTCATATTAATAACTCAATAAAAATATAATTTAACAATTAACATAACATAAACTAACATAATATAAAAAATGTATAATTAATTTGTATAATGTGAATACAAATAAAACACACAACTAGGAAGCAAGACTAAATCTCATATTAATAACTCAAAAAAATGAATATAACAATTAGTATAATATAATAATATAATTAAATATATGCATTTCTTGGGTCACGTTTTAAAAAAAGGCTTGAGAGAACCTTGAGAAAAGGTTTCCACCCTAAGACTGGGCGCAGAGTCAGATTGATGTCACTAAACAGTCTCTCCAGGTTAAAGTCGGTATCTGTTGTTTTAAGCAAGGGACTGTGCATTGAGATGACTGTGATGTGAACACCCTTTGAAAAGTGTAAGTGGGGAGAGAGGGGCGGCGTTGGCATGGTTACCTTGGAGGTCTTGGCGGGTGGTGAAGCTTTCGTGCGTGGGGAGCATGGGTCTCTCTTTCATGGGTACTCTCCGCGCTACGCAGATCAGACACGACTGGAAATCTAGTCATAGAGAGAGAGAAAATGATCAGATTAGTAAGAACAGATTATTAAAGCATTTTAAGGGTGCTAATGAATGATGAGGCATTGGTTGTGTGTGTTTGTGTGTGTCGTGGGGGCGGTGGAGAGTGGAGCGTGGGGTGATATGATGGAATGTGACCTTTCGTTTGTGTGTCATTGTGGAGGCTGACCCTGCTGTGCTGCTCCCATGGAGACTAAGTTAGAAAAGTCATCCCTCATCCACCCACAAAAAGATCATAAGAGAATCATAATGTCTCCAACAGCATTATGTCTGACACATCAGACATAAATGCATAAACAAGAACACTGTAAGTAACAGGATGTATTATATACACTACCACTCAAAGGTTTGCAATCAGTAAGTTTTATTTTTTCAGCAAAGACAATAAAAAAAAAGTTTATAATATTCTATTTGTTCTTTTGAACTTACTTTTAATTAAAAAATGCAGAAAAAATAAATAATAAGAAATGTTTCTTGAGCAGTAAATCAGCATATTAGAATGATTTCTGAAGGATCATGTGACACTGAAGACTGGAAACAGTGTTGCCATCACAGGAATAAATTACATTTTAAAATATAAAAAAATAGACAACAGTTTTGATAATTTGTAATAATATTTCACAATAATACTGTTTTAACTGTATTTTGCTCAAATAAATGCAGCCTTGATGAGCATAAGAGAACTAAAACCTAAAAAAATTGTACCGACCCCAAACTTTTGAATGGTACTGTATGTAGCCAACTACTAAAATTACATGTATACATATAATGTTTTTCATTAAATATCACAAAAAAATGTATCTTTAACTACATAACCATATACAACTATCATCAGTAAAGACATTTATTCAACTTTCCCACACCTTTAGTACCCGCTTCAGTTCAATAACATCACAACTTTATAACTCGCAGTTCATTAAGTGAGTCAGATTTTGATTCAGCAACCGCTCTGACTGATTCAGTGAGTTCATTCAGTGAAGGACTAGTCAGATTTATTCAAAAGCGTAACTCCTGTGTTTACGAGTCTTTTTAAATGATTCATTAAAAAACGGCTCATTATTGTATCTACTTGCTTGTGAATCACACTGCAGCTCATGTATTCCCTATGAACTTGATGTTGCTAGCGACATGCTCTACTTTTAGAGCTACAAGTCCTGTTGTTTACATCAGAGCTGATTTGAACAGGCCTTTACGTGCAAACACACGGCTGTTGTCGAGCCCCTTGGGTGGTCTTTACTACAAACTGCCTGAAGACCCAGCTTCACTGTCTCTGTAATAAACTCTCTCAGATATCCTTCTCCTCATACACACTCCTCCTCCAGCGGTCTTTCTGTCTCCTGCGCCAGGTTGAGCTGGCGGCTGAAAGAGCAGCTGGCACACAGCTAACACTGACGGGCCATAAAGAGAGACGCTTCATCACTCAACACACCAACAGTACCCAGCAAAAATTATACACTGTGTGTGTGTGTGTGTGTGTGAGAGAGAGAGAGAGAGAGAAAGAGAGAGGAAGACTAACATTAAATATCTCTCGTTGCCTCACACTTGCTGTTACACACACACACACTCTCTAAAACCCAGCCAGAGCCAAAACCAAAGCCAACACAATCCAGTGGAGAAGTGGGTCTCAAATGCACCCTGAACTCTGGGTGACTCCGAGAGGTGGAAGAGGAGGAAAGAAAAAGAGTAAATGAATCACAGACTGAAACATTTCTCTGGGCGGGACGCAGATGCACGTTCCACAATCACTGCTGTCAACCCTTTCGCCTTATTTTTCAGTAATTAGACGACTAATTTCTCTCGCACGCCAAGAATGACTGAGTGTTCCTTGTACATTAGTAGAGCGACTGACTCTGAAAACTCTTATACAATTCACTCCTTAACTCTTTCCCCGCTATTGACGGAAATTTCCGTCGTTTATGAGACAACGCTTCCTTGCCATTGACGGAAATTTCCGTGTTTTCATTGTTATACGGTAGAGGGCGCTATTACGCATTTTCTGAAAGAATACTAAATCTCCGGATCAAAACAGGTGAAAAAGAAGGAGAAACAAGCGATAGCATATGTAAGCACTCGTTGTAATAAGCAACAAAGTGACAAAAAATATATTAAATAATATATTAAATTAAGTATTGTGACAATACAATGGTACAGTGATGTATCAGATGGCAATACCATGGAGCTCCGAAACATACCATAATACCATCTTGGTATACTACAGTTCAAAAGCTTGGGGTAAGCAAGATTCTTTATTTTAAAGAAATTAATACTTTTATTCACAAAGGAGGCATTAAATGGATCAAAAGTGACAGTAAAGACATTATAATGCCATAAAAGATTTCTATTTCAAATAAATGCAGTTCATTTTGAACTTTTATCAAAGAATACTGAAAAAAAATATCTCTGTTTCCACAAAAATATTTAAGCAGCACAACCGTATTCGACATTGATAATAATAAGAAAAGTTTCTCTAGCAGTAAATCAGCAAATTACAATTATTTCTGAAGGATCATGTGACTGAAGACTGGAGTAATAATGCTGAAAATTCAGCTTTGTATCACAGGAATAAATTTAATTAAAATTTTAAATATATTCAAACATGAAAGTTATTTTAAATTGTAATAATATTTCACAATAACTGTTTTACTGTATTTTTGATCAAATAAATGCAGCATTTGTAAACATAAAAAAAAAAAAAAATGTTTGAATAGCAGTGTATGTTAAATTGCTACTGCCCTTGATGGTACGAGATCAGTAGATGACAGCACTTAAACAATTCTCATCCACTGAACCCCTAAGGAATAGTCAGTTTGCATGGCTGAAGCCTCCTGCTCCTCTTTGAAGCATTAAACCTTGAGTTTCAGCACCGTTCATGTGGCTTAAGTGTGTTTTAAGAAAGCGTGGCTCACCCTCTCCCTCCTCCTTGATGGACTTTGGTTCAGACACAGCGAAACACTGCATAGTCTCATATTTCTGCTGTGCCTCGTGATCCTGCGTCTCTTCGGCCTCGCTGTGAGGGTTCACGAGCATGCGGCAGTTGAAGGTGTGGCTGTTCCGTCGAGGATTCTCGCTGGACCACGGCACTCCGTTCACTGCGGGAGGGAAGAAAATAGACATCACTCACTGTCACTCATTTGAACCAGCATTCCCTAACTTTTCCCTCACTGAATAAAGGGGTGTTTACACTGACGGTGATTTACAGCAGCAAGGGACTGGAAGTCATTAATTTTCAATAAGAGTTGGCGATGTGAAGCGACATGAGAGACAGAGACTGTTGGCGATGAAACAAAGTTTAATGCACTTATTCCAATTAGAGTGTTCATGTGATCTGCCTATCAATCGTGTCACTTCAAGATCAACAGACAATTATTAAAGTATAGTGACTTGGTCACCTTCAGTGACTTAACTGGTGTTGGTATGTTTCTATGTTTCAAATAAATTGAATGCAAAAAAGTCGGAATATTTGCAAAACAATTTTCAAATAAAGCAGCGTTTCCATCCCGTGTGTTTAAAGTTCTGCATTAAAGGAAAATCTATTTTGTAATATCATGTTATAGATCTTATTGTGAACAATGTATCCGTTTATCCATGTATGCATTTCATTATTTGACCTCATTATGTTATCTAAATTTGAAAATGCCAGACTTTTCTCTCTCTTCTCCAATCATAGATTTACAATTCACATCAAAATACATGGATGGAAAGCTAGCTAGTGTGAACACACCCCTTAAAGGGATAGTTCACCCAAAAATGAATATTTTGTCATCATTTGCTCACCCAAGTTGTTCCAAACCTGTAAGAGTTTCTTTCTTTTGTTGACCACAAAGAAGTTATTTGAAGAAATCTTGGTAATCTAACAGTTGACGGTAGCCATTGACTTCCATAGTAAGAAAAAAATACTATATGGAAGTCAATGGCTACAGTCAACTGTCGGGTAATCAACATTTCTTAAAATACCTTCTTTGTGTGCAAAAGAAAAAAGAAACTCACACAGGTTTGGAACAACATGAGGTTGAGTAAATTCCAGGGTGAGATCCATAACCAATGAGTGTTTTCTGGTTGAATATATCATTTGAACCAATAATGACATGGTCATGATCAAGTCTTTCCTCTCTTTCACCTCATCAGGTGACCTTCCCCTCTACCGCTACTGGGGAAGGAGGAGATTCTGATATTCATTTCTGTAAATCCCAGTTCTTGATGCTCAATCTGATTAATATAATCACTGGATGGAAAGCGTAACTGCTCTAGTAATGCTACACTCAAGAGTTGAGGAATGAGTGTTTCCTGAAAAGTAGAGTTGGTCGAAGTGTAAATGAAATGAAAATAGCAAAATGGGAAGGAAACAATGAATGGAAAACAGAAAGAGTCTCACCATGTGACTTGGGCAGGAGGTTTTTGATGAATTCTGTATGATCTCCTACATGCAGGATGCTGTACACACTGGTGTTCATCAGCTCTTCCTGATTATACCGCAGGTACTGCGTCACGTTCTCCGACACAAACACGATGTTCCCCTCCATGTTCACAACAAAGAAGAAACCATCTAAGGCCTGGAGGAGAAAAAACACAAGGCTATTGGTACTGTGAGCACAAACATGCATCTAAAAACACTGATACTATTATATGACGAGCACAAGCAGACATTCGGGCTAAAGAACACGTCGGTGCTCCATCTTAAAGCTTAACCATTCAATGAGGAAGATGCGATAACCAGGAGAAACAAAACAAAAAGCCATCCAGAAAAGCCAGGAGTCCTTGTAGACTCTCGAAACAACAGATCAAGTGAAGTCAAGGGGATTACGGCACGAGTCTGAATTCATGGCCTTAAGATTGATCGAGTGGTTTGAACCACAACAGGCTGAACATAATGATCCGACAGCATCTTCACTTCTCAATTCAGGTAAACCATAATGAAGTAATTAGCTGCAGGAAAACAAGAAGATCTCATCAGTTGCAGTTAGGAGGTTATTTGAACAGGCTTCCTCTCGAAGCGATACTGTCAGGCAGGCGGACAGGGGAAGTGGAGCAAGTGTTTTCCCTCATTTCAAATGCAGATTACAGGCTACGGCTCAATTAGACTGCTTACTTGTGTCGCACATCCTGACGGGTGCAGTGAAGGCGTCTTAAAAAGGGAAACATCATAAGAGCTTTTTTTATGCATTGGTACTGCCGATACGGGATATATACCATCGTTCCAAAGTTTGGGTTCGGTAAGATTTTATAATGTCTTTGAAATAAGTATTTTATGCTGGCCAAGGCTAAATTTTTTTTTTTTTTACTGTAAAAATAGTAATGAAATATTATTATAATTAAAATTCCTGTATTTCTTTATTCCTGTGATGGTAAAGCCAAATTTTCAGCATCATTACTCCAGTCTTCAGTGTCACATGATCCTTCAGAAAACATTCTAATATGCGGATTTGGTGCTCAAAAACATTTGTATTACTATCATTATTATCACTATTATCAATGTTGAAAACAGTTGTGCTCAGTTCAAAAGGACGGCATTTATTTGAAAGTTATCAATTTAATGCATCCTTACCGAATAAAAAATAGTTTAATGTTCACAACCTTTAATTGTTAAACTGTTAAATGTAATCTTTAGCTAATATAAATATGCATCTTTCATACTATACATTTTATTTATACATAAACGGTCATGCTTAAATTCACCTATAGCATTAAAACATGGTTTTTACCATTTTATTTTTTGTTTATTCTGACAGAAGTTTAGAATTGTATTATTTATTAGTTATCAGCCATTAAACACAATTAATTAATCACCATATCGGCAAATTCCAAGTAAAGGTTCAGTTTATAAAAATTAATTATCTTAATTTATTTAATAATTTATTAAAAATGAATTATATTTTAATAAATTAAATGATTATGTTATAATATAGTATGCAAATTAAATGATTATATAAAATACTTCTAATCTCTGATCTTTAATGCGTTTGTCTGAGCGAAGATGAACTTTCTTGTCTGCTTGTGTCGGCAATAAAACAGCTCTCTCGAATCTCAGCGCTTCATAGCGTGTGACAGAAATGATATTGACGAGTCTAAATTGAAAGAACGCAGCCTTAAGTCAAGCATTACCTATCAAGATGGTGTCAATTAGGTCTCTGAATGCAGTCGGGCCCCTGAGGGCCAATAGCGATCGCTATAAAAGCTGCTGTTTGTTTTAGAATGTGGAGCAGCAGCTCGGAAATCATTCTTTAATCTGCGGCGGAGCGTAATAAGCTCTAAATCTTTTTATCAGCAAAACAAACACAACGTCTCTTCCAAACACAGAGAATTATTTCACAAACACTCGGCAGTGAAAAAAAAAAAACTCTCAAGAGAAGTAAAGAACAAGCGTGCAGACTCCAGAGACGGAAAAAGAGAGAGGGAGTGAGCGAAAAAAAGCCCACAAGTCCCTGTTTGTGCACTGCTCTAGATGTGGCCATCTGGTGGGCACATTCAGCAAACATCGCAGAGTAAACATGGAGGAATGCCAAATCCACCTTTATTTAGCCAAACTTATGCAACTCTTTAAAATGTGCTGATGGATGTGTATTGCAACATGAATGGAGCTGGGTGGGCCTGGCCCGGCCCGTCCTCACTGTCCCGCTGTGGGAGGTTACATAACTTCCTATACAAAGGAGAGACTGGGTCCAAGCTCATCGTGAGGTGCGGACACCGAAAACGGACACGCAACCAGTGGCACACTGAGCTTGGCCACAAATCCCCACACACTGCTTCGAAGAACACAAAGCTGCTTTAGCAGATCCTATGGCGAATCACACTTCAGCTTCAACCACCAAACAATGGGGTTTTTCACTGGGGCAGGGGGGCGTGCAGCACTGCAAAAGCTTCGCACAAGGCCTGTTTGTGTGCACGAGTGTGTGCGAGGTGTTTCGGTGAGTGTGCGTGCCCGGGCGACGCTGGAGGGGCTGTTATGGGTGTCGGGTGGAAAAGGGCAGTCGGCTGAGTTTACCCCTCTCTGGCCCTTTGTCACAAGTGGTTTTTAATTAGGTGCATTATAGCGTGTGGGTGTGAATTGTCCCTTCCTTCGGCCGTTTCAAACAGATGGAAGATCAAGCGCACAAGCACGCAGGCTATATTTGGCATCCGCTTCGTGTTGATTCGGTGACGGAGGACCTCGGAGGCTATAAATACCCCAAAGAGGAGAGGGTGTGAGAGGAAGATGGAGCGGCTGGATGGGTGGATTCATTCAGAGCTGGGCGTCCTGCCTGCTCGGCCGACCGACCAAAGTTGTCCGTTTGCACTACAGAGATTTGAACTGTTATTTAAGGGGGTAGTTCGCCCAAAAATAAATATTTTATTACTCCTTTCTCACCCTCAACCCATCAGCCAACAGAATTGGAAAAAAAACTGCTATCACGGCCAGCACATCTGATGTTTAATGTAGAGTCATGTGAAATGATATTTTAATGTGGGTGGGACTATCGACACCGCAGAACAATAGCCGCTTTCCGACCAAGTAGTTACAGGAACTTAGTTATAGGAACTGTCCACTTCTAAACAGTTCTAAGAACTACTCTCCCCCAAACTCGGTTTTGCTGTTTGCGTTCGCACTGGCCAAGCGGCCATAGGAACTGGTAGGAGGGGTAAGGGAGTGACGCAAGCACGGCGGCGGCGGCGGCGCCACATACAACAATAACAAACCAGCATGGAGGAGGCTATCGGAATGTTCCTGTTCTGCCTTGCCGGGAGCTTAATAACGAGTACGAACGGCGGCGTTTAAAGACTATGCTTGAGTTCTGTACAGAGAAACAAAGAAGACGAAGGCTCCAGCGTAATATGATCTTAAGTAATATAATGGAAGAAGATAGAAGAGCAGAGCGCAGGAGACAAACAAAACGACGGGTAAGTTTAGCAAGCATAGCAATTAGCTGGTTGAATCTGTTATGTTATGAGTTAGCATTGCATACATAGGCGAATTGCAACCATAGGATTGCAACAGACAGTGAATAAAATGTGTTGACACTGGGCGTGACTTGTAAGTTGAACCAATCAACGTAGACCTAGGGAAAGGGAACTAAAAAAGTCCTCGCTCTAGACTAGGTACTGAAAGAGTTATAGGAACTACAGTCTGAGGAACTAAAGTCTGAGGAACTAAAAAATCCCCAACTTAGTCAGGTCGGAACACGCGAAAAAAAGGTTATAGGAACGTTAGGTTCTAGGAACTGCAAAAGTCCCTCCGGTCGGAAAGCGGCTAATATAACACAGTTTGAACATTTCTTTAGATTCTTAATCGATTAAAACTACAACTAATGCTATTAAAATGGTTTTTGTAATTGAAATAAAGCAGAAATAAATGATACATTTTAGGGGGTGTTGCACGACACAGTCTTCAACTAAAAAGGTTAACTTACACGACAAAGGCGTTTATTTGCAGGTTTCAATCGGACGGCACATTTTTGAAAATGATACCGTTATAGTCTCTGTGTAAACTACAAAAATGCAAATTTGTGAAAACGTTGACGTCCTGCGCATGCATGTTACATGTTCAGTATTTAGGCGCGCAGATTCAACACGAATCAACTTCAGATTTTTTTGAGTCGGCATTTTTGGATTAAAGTCGAGTGCACATCGACTAGTTGCTGATGACGTAATTGATTAACAAATAAGCGTGTACCTCAAGCCAAGACTGGAATGTGCACATCTATGGTATATGACAGCGCTGACCACAAGGCTATTGCTCCTACAGAACAGCTTCTTTTTATTAGTTCTTTTGTCTTTGGGTCGTTATATTTCTCACAGATTTCTGTTCGTTCTAATACAGATAAAGATAATATCACATGCAGATAAAGTAGCACAGTAAAGATTACATTTATATGAATGCATTAGTGAGAGAGCGATTGCGTGTGAATTAATTCTACCTGGCAGCGTCTCTCTACTAATAGAGAAGATAATAAATCACAGAACTGTGTTGACGATACATTTCTGCGCTACTGAATGTTTCTGTGTGCGTACGATCTGTACGTGATGTCCAAGCTACTGTCTTGTCTGTGTGTATGTTACAATGAAGCAGCGCATTAGTTTAGAACCTAATTTATGTGTACAATAAGCTGTTTAAAATGTGCATTTACCTGATCAACTTTGAGCATCCAAATGGTATAATCAAACATATCTTGTGGAGCGCTCGGAGTATGCATTTATTTGTCAATTTAACTGTTGGAAACAGAGCGTAAAAGTGGACTCCAAAGATTTCTTATCCTGTTGCGCCCTCTATAGGTCATGATCAGTGACTAGTCAACGTCAAGTTTAAATCGTCATGGCAGATCATTAATGTCGACTGTGAAACCCCTAGCAAGGTGTTTCTTTAGTGACATCGCCAACTACTGGCCTAGAGTTTTTAGTCGTTTTCGCGGATTCGTGTGAATGGGGATCATTTTGACAACATTGTCGTCTGTACGCAAAACTTTTCAAAACCACCAAACCGTTTAAAAAAAAAAAACGTTTAAAAAAAAACTTAAAATTTTTTAGTACATCGTTGTTGTGTAAACGTACCCTTAGATGAAAAATGTTCACTTAAAAAAATGTACATTAAAAAGTTAAAGTACTAAATTTACTAAAATTAAAACTGAAATAAAAAATAAATGTTTTTAAATATTATCTTTAAATATTTAAAAAAAATATTATGAATAATAACAACAAAAATGACAAAAAAATAACACTGCTTCATGAAACGCATCACTATGCTTGAGCATGTTTTTCATGTCAAATTTTGTGCTTCTCAACTGTCAGCTCATGAGATCTTTATTGAGCAAAAGGATGGAGGAATTTGGAGATTTAAACATCAAATGCCTGCCAAATTTTTTAACACAACATACAAAAAGGCATTTTACGACTCTGTCCGCCATATATGGTTAACACTTGGCTCTTCCTCGTGCACGTCTGCCTGCATGTTCTGTGTAGCCTAGTAAACACACAGCACAACAGACCCACCTCCAGCATCATTGGTCCAAGGGCATCTTTGTCAATAACACTTTGGCCTGTCGACGACACATCAGCCTTCTGCACTTCATCCTCATTGGCTGCAGCAGCTTTTTCTACAGAGGAGAAAGATGCAGATAGAGTAACGGAAATATGATCAACATCACCGTCCACTATAATTTTACTATTTTATGTTAAAAGTCAAAGGGTGAATATAGGATGCACACAATTACAGTCATGTGATCATATATTGGGAAAAGAAAGATCATGTACAGCTGCCTGTGATTGAGATGCACATGAGAAAAGATACATGTTTTTTGCATGTCATAATATGTGTTATACTTTGCAAATTTGATGTCAAAGCAAGTCTAAAACATGATTCATGTTGATGAATTGCCACTGCCAGTGTATAAAACCAAGTAAATTATTTGGCTAAAGATTTGGCCATGAATTATTAAATGCCAGAGCATTACATTGTTACATTGGTCTCAATGGGAAACATAAAGGCAAGAAAATGGGAAAAAAGTCTTCCCAGAATTTTTTTTAAAAATTTTTTTTTAAATAATATGCAGTAAAATTAGACTTTGTAATGACACAGAACATTATTAAAGTGTTTTTCCTTTTATGTTCATACTTTTATTTGATGGACATCGCTCATATTGTTTAAATGATTGAACTAACCCCTTGCTAACCCCATATTTCTATTGCCTTTCCTTATAGTTGCATTATTCTAATTTGTATTGATAGCAGACATCCTGAAATACAATTAGGTGCATTAGTTTTACCTCCGTCTCCTTTCTCCTTGAATAGAGGACAAGTTAAGCATAAATTGGCACAGTTTACTCTGTCTCCCCTACTAAGTGAATACGGTAATTTGGTACGAAACTCAGTCCTCGGTTGGAAACATCAACATTTCCATATAAGAACCTAAAACCCTTCTTTAAACCCTGCAGAGTTTAAGTGTTTTATTTTCAAATTACATTAAAGGCACTTCATGTGGTCTTGCTAGCTTGAGCATATTAGCATTTCTTGAAAGGGCAGTTCTCTCTCTCCCTGCTCACTAAAGCGTTCATTTTATATTGCACACACGCACCTTTTTAAACCATTTTCTCACTCTTTCATACTGCCATGCGCTTGTTGAGACATGTTGTTATGGCACGCATCCGGACCTTAGCAACACATGAGGCAGAAGCTGTCAGGCTAAATGGGTGCATGTGAAGCCTCACATAACAGCCATGCAGCCAGCAGCCTGGACATGAATGGAACCGTCAATACACTCATGCGCGCACACGGACACCAAACAAACCATTATATAAAGAATGGAGAACATCGTTCTCCCAAGAAAATGACATGATTTGTAAACAACGCCGGCAAAGCTCTCACGATGGAGCTAAATTAGTGCATCTCAGAAAGAACTGGGACACATTTCACCACAAATAAAAAATAATAACACATTTTAATTTGTAGGGGGAAGATTTTTTTTTGTTATGTGTTATTTACAAAATCACAGAATAACAAGTTAAAAAATTCGTCAGTAATTAAGTGCAAAGTAATTTTGAATTCTTATTGTAAATAAAGGTTAATGGAATAGTTTGTCAATTGTGTTTTATTGCCAATAATTTTCATTAATTTTAATTGGTAAATAAAGTCACAATGAAAAGAAAAACAACTAAAAAAGCCTTTAAGCTAAATATAATTTCTTATTTTATTATGTTTGTGCTGATATATGACCACATAATGCTGGGAAAGTGGCTCAACATTCAATAACACGATTAGTGAATGAAGTGAGGTGATAACGCATCTTCTGAAGTTGAGTACCATAAAATATAAATAGCAGATGACAAACTTCAACTTGAATACAAAATAAAATTTTTGTTTTGCAACTAACTGAAATAAAATAAGTTGAAGTACTAAAACGACTAAAACTGAATTAAAAATAAAGCTAAACAAAAAAATAAAAAAACTGATAAAAATGACAAAAGCACATAACTAAATTAATTAAACAAACTAAAATGAAAACTGAAAATATAATGAAATATTACTAAATACTAAAATAACACTAACAATTCCTGCCGTCAGTGAAACATCCTCAATCCCACAATTCCCCAAGACCAATCTAACTTCCGGTATGTACCCATCTATTAAAGGTAGAGTAGTCCTCGGGATCATCAGTGGATGCATTGGGCTCACAGAGGACACGATAGAGAAGCAAACTGTGCTGGCATGATGGGTAGCCATATGGCAAAGAGAGAGGGCCATCCATCAGCCTCCCTCTCAGGCCGTTCTGGGATGCTCCAAACGCTGCTCTTTCCGTACATGTGCATGTGTGTCTGGGAGAGATACGCATGCGTACACTCCTGATGATGAGTGGATGTGAGCGTGTTGTGTGTCAGCAGGTCTTTGTGGTGCCCAGCAGGGACTGGTAAACCAGCACAGCTGCACCAGAGGTCCGGTAATAACTCATTCCCTCTCTCGTTTCAAACTCGGCTGCAAAACAGTTTCCTTTCCGTCAGCCAATCCCCGTCAAACAGAAAAAAAAAAAAAGCAATTTTATCTCCAGGAAAGCTGTGAATCAGGTCAGACCATCACTTCAACAGCAGATGGAAAGCCTTTAGGATCTGCCCTATCAGTCTCAATTCAAAGCCCCGCCCAAGACTCTGCTCTCGACCAATCAATGCACATCCTGATCATGGATACTAGGTCATGATGACTCTCCATGGGAGGACTCCAGATCACGTCATCTATTGGGTGTCATTCAATCTCTAAATTTATAAGCGCTGCCTCACTAATGAACAAATTAAACTGGTATAATTAAGAATAATCCAGTTTTGAAACTCGTTTTGGTTATTAAACGTCTAGCAGATGACCTACACAATGAGAACACCTATTTAAAGGCAAATGTCCATCAAAATGTGTTTTCTATACAAACAGGAAGAAAACTGTTCACTGCCACAATGTGTTAGCCGTGCTTGCTAGCATAGCTAGCTTAATAGCATATTATAATTGCACATGCTCATCTTGTACCCTTTTTGTACAACGTGAATTATCCAATCAAATCACAACTTGCTGAGAAAAGGTTTGCTAATATTTGGACCAGCAAGCAAACATAAGCAACCACCCATATCATAACACCCTATCAACCGCATAGCAATGCACAAAAAACTACTCAGAACACATAGCAACACCCTGGCAACCAATCACAACACCTTCACATCATGATGGCAATTTTTGCATAGGCAACATTCACTCAACGTCTTCGTCTGTGGAATCAAAAACTGACAGTTTAGTGACCATTCACTTTCACTGTGTGGAAAAGAAAAACATCAATGAAAGTGAAGAGTGACTGAAGGTGCGTTCACATTTTACTTTGTTTAACAATTTTTTGCTATCAGAATCCAGTCAATTTCAAAGAGGAATTCTGTGTAAGGGAGAAATATTTCTCCATGCAGATTTCGCAGCGGGTTCAAATAGGTAGCTACATTATTGACAAATGACCCACACAATTTTGCTAATGCGACCACAGCTTGAGGCTGTCGGTTCTTGTGCAGTTTGTGTAAGAAAGTCAGTCATGGAGTTTAAGTTGTTAGGATATGATTCTTATTTTTAGGTGACCTATGCATTTAAAGGTTAGTGCTGATCATTATTTGTATGTGATATTATCACCAGTGATTTCTGATATGTAATGATTCATGTACAGTCAGATCGTTTATTGTCGTATTGTCGTAAGTCAAACCAGTGACTAAACGGTCAACTTCACATTGTTTCTCTTAGTAGGATGAAAAATAACTTAAACTGTGATTAAATTATACATAGAAAGCGATCACAGAATGCTCCCTTTACAATCACTGAAGATGTTAATCAAAAAGCACAATTTTATTAGTTCTGGCCTGAAAAATCATCAAGTTATAATAAACAAATCTCTTGTTTACATTGTGTTTGTACTGTTAGTTATGATGAAAGCATTCGTTAGTGTGCAGAAATCGAGTTGCAATGACAAGATCGCTGCATTCCTGCGCTCAACGTGTCTGTGATTGGCTACAATGCTCATCACTGCAACCTTTCATGCCACGATCTAAATATAATGCTATAATCAACATTTACCACGATTAGTTAACCTTGAGAGCTGTAATAGTAAAAATGTGCTAAATGTTTTCGAGAGAGTTTCACATATAATAATTAGCTATTTCACATGCCAAGATGTTAGCCAATCACAGCAGTGGGCGTTTACACTGAAGTCTCACAGCAGACACGCCCCTTAAAACAGAGCATTCAAATTCATAGGGCTAAAAATCAGGGTAGGAAAAATGCCTAAATTATGACAATTTTGATGTAAAAATCATACTAACATTATAAGTGCACCCCCGGAAACATTATAAAAGAATAAAATAATGCGATTCATGACCCCCTTAAAACAATAATCCATAAAATTCCTTTTGTAATACTTGTGACTTAAATTAGTCATATCATATACATTATATATATATATATATATATATATATATATATATATATATATATATATTAGGGCTGTCAAACGATTAATCACGATTAATCGCATCCAAAATAAAAGTTTGTGTTTACATAATATATGTGTGTGCACTGTGTATAATTATTTTTAATACATAAATACCCACAAATGCATGTGTATTTAAGAAATATTTGCATGTATATACTGTATATAGACTGAATGTAGCCTATATATAATGTATATTTTATATAAATATAAACATTTTATATATAAATAACATATTTTTCTTAAATATATACATGTGTGCATTTATATACAAAATAATTATACACAGTACACACACATATATTATGTAAACACAAACTTTTATTTTGGATGCGATTAATCGTTTGACAGCCCTAATATATATATATATATATATATATTTTTTCACCCATCACACACAATAGAATCCATAGACTACCTCTCAATGAAAGTAAAACATCTCTTCAAAGAGAGATTTGTTGCTATGGGTCTGAATAAAATGTGAAGAACATAGAATCGTAAGCCTTTTAAACGAAAGCAGTTTCTGGTTAAAAGGGCTTCCTCTGTGTGTCAATGATGTTGTGCTTCCTTTACAAGGAAAGCTGACTGCTGCGCTCAACACTTGAGGCCTTGTTTACAAGCAAAACAGGCCCATTTACATTTGAGACTGTACAAACCGTGTTAGAGCAGTGTGTGATGCTGTGCCCGTGTGGCATCGAGCGTAGTGAAGGAGAGGTAAGGGACGGCACAGCAGACGCCGACCATTGCTCAGCATTACATAACCCAGAGTTCAGTACATCACAAACAATCTCCATCACAGCCCAGGCAGAATCAATGCAGACACACACACATGTCAAACTAGCACCTATTCTGCTACCAAAATCATATACTCCCCTACTATATAGTATATGCGGAAAACACTATGCCAACATAGCATGTCTGAATAAATAGTATTCGAAAAACACCTAGTTTACCTAACACAAAGTACCTGGATGACCTAGTACTAGGGCTCGTAATAAACCGTAATTGATTTTCGATTTTGGCTTCCAACAACGCACCTTCCTTTCCTTCACAGCGGTGAGCTTTCATTTCTCCCTAAAAGCCCAAACTTAAAAGTAAGTGTTGTAAAATGCAGTCTACTGTTGCTAAACTGCGGGATGTGTTTGATATGAATCAGTGTTATTAAAAGCGCATTAAGCCGCAAAAGAGACACTGTTTAGGTGGCTTTCCGTGTGTGTGCTCCAAGTCGGAGATACACATTCATCCGTAACACTTTTTTAGGTAACTAAAAGCATAACGTGCTAACAAGCACAACACCTGAATCCAAATCACTGCACTGCGCAAATGTGTCGCGAATCAAAAATCCCTGGTAACAAAAATCAACTGGAATATATAACATATCTAGAAAAGCAAAGAAACTGTGACTTCTAGTCAAATCTTGTGTTTGGTTTCTGTTTGTGGCAACAGTCATTTTGCAGTTAGCATGATGAAAGCCAATCTGAAATCTATGGCTGATTTGACAAAGCTCTTTCTCAAGATCTCAAACAACCTGAAAATGCCTACACATGTCCAAAGCTCCTAATAACTACTAGTTTAATGCAAAGGACCGAATATGCTAAACCAATGAATGTAGCACTATGTAGAGATTATGTTTTGTAGCGTCATACCTCAAGAGTTTATAATTAATATGGGGTAATCCTGAGCTGTCTAGGGCATTCGTCATGTATTTTGATTTGTAAATTTATTAGAAAGACAAGCAATTATGTGAGTTCAAAGAAGTGTCCATCAGATTCTTACCTTGCTCTTTAATTTGACGAATCTGTTTCACGGTTTCCTTTAGGATTGCACATTTGTCAGGCTTGACATTGAAGTTGTCGATGTCATTGAAGTTTGCGAAAATCAGCTCTGCAAGCTCCTCTATGTACTTATTTTCATGTTCCCGGTTGCGTTTCTCAGTGCTTCGTTTGGGACTGTGAAGAGAAACAAAAAACATTTCTGACTATAGAGCAAAAATACGAGATTCAAAAAATACAATCAGACCTGCACTTAACATGCTTTAAGAAATGTACTGGTAACACTTTACAATAAGGTTCATTAGTTAATATTAGTAATGCATTAACTAACATGAACTAACCATGAGCAATCCACTTGTTACTGTATTTGTTAATCTTTGTTAACGTTAGTTAATAAAAAATACAGATGTTCATTGTTAATTCATGTTAGTTCACAGTGCATTAACTAAAGTATTAGTAAACGTTGGAATTAACATTAACAAAGATTAATAAATGCGGTATACGTCCAGTTCATTATTAGATCATGTTAACTAATGTAGTTAACTAATGTTAACTAACAAACCATATTGTAAACTAACACCATTGCACTGTTTAAGACTGCTTTGGAAAATATCACGGTTTCCTCAGTTTATTTTCAATTTTTATCTATTATTTTGGCAAAGATGCAGGAAAAAAGAGAAATAAAATAACTGAAAAATTGGGCATAAATGTTAGGGATCTACCATCTTGCCAAACACTTTTGTAACAAATTTGCTACCTTCAACAATAAATCAAGAAAATCACAATATTTAGCCAGATTTTTTGTTGAAAAATCACACACATTCTTTCATTCAGTCTGCGATATTTTAAAATGTTAGACACACACCCATGGGTGTCTTTGGATGATACATTGCATTTAAGGTGACATGTCTCAGAACATGTTTTAAGTGTGAATAGCCTTTAGACAACCCTCTATGGCATCATCACACTTAAAAAAAAAAAAAAAATCTAAACAATCAATGCAGCGAGACCCTCTTTTCTACATTGTGTTTCACACTAAAATAGACAACAGTTCCCAGAACTCCTTCTATGCAACCTTAAACAAGTTGCATTTTCAATTTGCTGCTCTGCATCTTCAGCAGTTTGCACAGAAAAAATTTGTCAATACAGAGGGCGTGCATAGCTACTTCCTATGAATGAATTATACAGACTGATGTTTCCTGACTCAGTGGAAAAGGGCTTTAAATAGAAACGTGTATTATCTAGGCTGAGCTCCACCAGTGGGAGGCCTGCTCAAGATTATTGCAGTTCAGCTGTAGTGTAGACACTGAGAAATTCACTCTACAAACTAAAAATGTGTATACTGCAAAGCATGCAGTTTCAGAGTGCACTGTAATCTGCTGTTCAGTTTGGATGATGTGTGAGGTACCTTGGGCCCAGGAGGTCTGATGGGCATTCCTTACGCTTCTGACCCTCTGACCTGGCAGGGTCCGATGAGTTATCCCCGACAGCACTCATCCTCAATGCATATCACCTAATGGAGAAAATGTCAACATAAGAGATTCAGAAAATGCTCAAAGGACACATCATCTTTAGCTAGGCTTGGCAAATGAAAACACTTCGCTTCATTGCAACATATAACGGGGTGGACCAATGAAAAACATCATATTGAGTTATCTCCTGAACAGGTTAAATAGCACACTGTGCCAACTATTTCTAATGTGCTTTGAGAAAGACAGTGGATATGGATCTGTTTAACAGTTCAAAAACTTGCAGTTAAGCATCATAATGTCATAAAATTGAGTACCTGATGATTTGCAAACAAGCCAAACTGCTCTTCTGAGAGAGATTCATGTGGAACCAATCAGTCATTTAGGTACTTGTGGTTAAAATGACTCTATGAGGGATTTATACGAATTTTGGAGGTTTTTATCCTTTCGTTTGGCTGCGAGTGCCTGAAAACACTCACCTTGGCAGCTTGCATTTAAAAAAAAATCTATAAAATAAATTCCTTATCAATTAATACAGTCTTTAATGGCTCTTTACAACGGCCGGAAAAATTGAATTACTAATTAGAGATAATTGAAAGTGAGAAGGCTTAGGGGTTGTGTTCAGAGGTCATATACTGAAGATGTGGGTTGATGCTGGGAGGCGTAAGGAGGCCTGTGAAAATGAAAATTAGAGAAAATGGAACGAAAAAGGGATTCAATTATATTGTGTGACAATGGGGGTCCCCTGAGACCAAGTGAGAGAAAGGAAAGGGCAGAGCAATGAAAGAAAAGTGGAAGTAACACGAAAGTATATGAGTTTGAGAGTGGTGAGAAATAAAGAGAGAGTAAGGGGTCAGAGAGTGAGAGAACACAATGTGCTGTATACTGTAAAGCACAAAAAGACTGTTGAGCATGCAAATTTTCATGTAACAAGCCCCAACAAATACGGACACAGGTAGAGCAATTTATCTTTCCAACATGTGCTACAATATGTAATGTATTTTCACTTTCCATTCACATTTGTGTGCCTTACATATACTTATAGTTTCACAAAAACTGAGAATTCCCACGAGAGAGAGAACCAGTACATTTCATCATCTAGTACTGTTCTCGATATGATGAGAGAAAGAGAAATTTGTCTTATCACTAGGAGAAAATTAACTCGTATAAATTATTGAATGAGGCTTTTTAATAATAGTGTGCAACATTAAATGACGCATAACTGCTATATATATCGCAAGTCGCTTATGCTCACCAAGGTTGCACAGTGAACAAGTTATTTTGCAAATTGGGTAACACTCTATTTTACAGTGTCCTTGTTACATATGTTACATGTACTTACCATAGTAACAACAGTAAATTATGCATAATTACATGCAACTAACCCTCAACCAAATCTTAATCCTACCCTAACCCTATAGTAATACATGTAGTTGCTTAATATTACTCAGTACTTAAATAAATATATAATTACACTGTAACAATGACACCTTAAAATAAAATGTAACCGCACATTGTTATTACAATGTGCTGATTTTGGTGCTCAATAAACTTGTATTATTATTACAAATGTTGAAAACAGTTGCACTGCTTAAACTCTATACTTTTACTACTAATTACTCTATACTTACGTTTTAACTTTAAATGTCTTTGTCATTTAATTTCATGTGTCTTTGCTGAATAAAACTATTCATTTCTAAATAAAACCTTTGATATATACAGACAAAAAAAAAACTGTGCATGCAACATTTGGGATACATTAAAGGCTGCTGAAATTCTTGTCATAAATAGAGCCGTTAATGTAATGGAAAACGTTTTCAACGTTTGCAGCCTCTGGGGTAAATTTGTTGAAAATTGCATCCAGCATTCCAATAAAAACATTATATAAATAGCATTATGTGGGCTAATTGTCATAATTGAAAATAGCAGACCTATTTTTAAAAAGGTGGAATTACGGTAATGGTCCGTTGCAATTTGAGCATTATCTCCTCAAAAGCATTGTTAGATCATTTACTAGATTTCCACTTCTGAAGCCAAACCGGGAGTTAACCCCCCCCCCCCCCCAAATTTTTTTTAAGTACAAACCAATACATTACATCAACAAAAAAACAGGCACTTCAGAGTGTTGATGAGACCTGTTGTGAATCTGGTGCTAATTTAAAACACCAGGCAGCGGAAGTTAATGAAAACACTGTCCATCCCCTCTCCGATCTCTCTCAGGGCTTCATCTGCAGTGTTCGGGAAGCAGGCGGAGAGACACTCGGGCCAGCACACGAGGCCAACACACTGGGCTGCGTCCAGGCCAAGCTGACGCACACACATTGCCTTGCATAATTTGCAGCCTCACTGTAGGCCGGCTGGGGGAGTCAGAGCAGGAGTGAATGGAGCGCTGGTATTGAATCCCTGCTGGATTGCAGTGCCCTACTTAAACCTAAAGACAGAGAGGCCAATCAAACAGCTCTGGGGGGACGAGGCCAACGCTACAGACACTGGACACCAGCTAACCAGAGAAAGATTCATTCAAACCGCGCTAACCTTCGAGTCTGAGAGACATTCATCAGCGGGACATCTGAATCGTAACATTACGTAAGGCCTTCTGTCAATCATGGGGCCCTTCTGTCCAGCTTAATGACAAACGGCTTCTTGTGACACAGCCTAGAAGATTCCCCGTGCCCCCTTGGACAGTAGACACCACTGGAATCGCACATTTATTTAGGCAATGTCACTGTTAGCATGACTGTTAGCATTACTAAAATAGAAGTCAATACTAAAATAGACAACGATGTAGAGCAGCGGTCGGGAACCTATGGCTCGCAAGCCACACATGGCTCTTTGACAAAAATCCTGTGGTTCGCCAGGTCTTGCACCCTTTACCAATGATCGATACAAAATTGGACATCAATAGAGATCAGCTTTTTTGTAGAAAAAGCAACCAATTACAAAAAAGTGACTGGACTGAAACCTATAATTTTATTGAAACTAGTGCTCTGATGTGCCAAGAGACATTTCGGAGACCTTTATGCCCTATAAATGTGTAGTATTTATGATAATCAGCGCAGCTTTCAGTGGACGATACTGTTTGAATTGATTTATAATGAAACATGGATGAATGAGATAGTAAAACTGGGGTGTGATTGATATTAAAAAGATATTAAAAGCTCAATAAGCCGCAAAAGAGAACTGAATCTGCTACTTACAGGATGTTTTCTGTACGCGCTCTCAGAGCGGAACACGGGCAAGCATATAATAAACCACAGAATGTGTCAAAATGAGTATCCACGTAAACCAAAAATGAAAAAAAAAATGGCTCTTTGGTCAAAAAAAGGTTCCCAGCCCCTGATGTAGAGGAGTATCATTGTATCAAGTATTGTGGTATCAATAATCATAAAATTCCACTAGTGTTGGTATCGAATGCATTCCCAACACAAACCCATATGAAACGCATGCGTCCAGCTGTCAGGTGCACAGTCTTTCTCCATACCAAGACAAGAGAGCCACTTCAACCTCTACAGCCTTACTATATATAACTAGCTCCTTCACTCGTGTGACGCGTGATTCAATCAATTGTTAATAGCAGCTTCTCAAAGGCTGCAGGGGCCTTCACGCAGAAAGGTAGGCGTTTCGGACTGAAACCATGGACAATCACCGTAATGAGAAGAGTCGAGAGTTAGACATGGTAGCTAGTGATTACAGAGGCTTTGATATGCTATCAGCTTTCCCCACTAACCGACACAATCCGATTGGCTGAAGAGGCTTTAACACAGATGGAGGGGACCAAAGTGCAAAAGATTAATACCACCAAATATCTGATACAATAGAAGCAACATCAAGCAGCTTTTTTGATGATGTAAGTTACTTAACTGAGTCTGTGCTCTGTACTACTGGTGCTGAAGGACTGCTATCAAAGCTGGTTGAGAAACACTAATTAAAGAATTTGATTTGCTACCATGCTTGCAAACTTTGATCTCCCTTTCATACATGGCAAATTAGCAATATTGACAAAAAAAAAAAAATGTAATTAAAACTGACCTAAAAAATAAATAAAATAAAATAAAGTAAATGAAATAAAACTTAACTAAAACTAAACAACAAATTAAAATAATAAACAAAAACAAAAAGTGACAACACGAATACTTAAGGCTTTTGATGTCAACAACAAAATACATATTTTCGGGCGGGATAAACGGTTACCTTTCAAAATCCCTCTGCACGCAATAGGATAACGCTTCAACCAACCAGAGCAACGAACGGTTGTGGATGAGTGAGTCCCATGCGTTTTTCCACCAGCGGAGCTAATTGATATATTAAACTTTTGCCGTATCAGGTCGGCAAAACTCCGAACACATCTTCCTTTTTTAAGAATGACTTAAGTGACGTTCTCTTAACTCCAAGTCCTCCAGAGTCGCGGCCAAAGCCGATTCAAAAGACCGCTGCATCTTCATTGTTTTCAAGTAGCAGGGAAATCACCTATGGAAATCACGCAGAACGTCATGAACTGTGCCGTCATTGTGTTAAGCCCGCCCGCCGACTCTATACACGATGTGATTGGCCCGACCAGTTTTTGTTTTTTCCAGCTCAAAAGCCTATGGAGAGTTGCTAGACCACACTGGCTGCGAAATAATTTTCGCTGCCGCTAGGGTGCGTCTAGATTTCTAGGCTAAAATGATATGGTTAGTTAGTTGCATTTGCTCTGTTGTCTGGGATCAAAATCGACCAGCAAACCATTTTGGGTAATGATCCAAAAAAAAAAAAAAAAAAAAAAAAAAATAACTGACAACACTAGATTGGACTTACGGCAATTTGACGTCAACAACAAAATGTCCTAATTCTCTGTTAAAAAAAATAATATGATCAATAAGTTATGACAATATATTTTTAGATTGCTTTAACTCATCAAAATAAGTTAAGCAATTTTCCACTTTTTTATAAGTTATACAAGATTCAAGTCAGTTTAATATAATTTAAAAAGTTGATTGTAGTTAATTTCAGGCAGCAACTTTTTTTTCTTCTTTTTTTTTTACAGTGTTGCATAATATATGCTTTG